ATCTAATCTATCTAATCGCCCTAAGCTAGCCAATCTAGCTAAGCAAGCTAAGCTAGCTAATCTATCCCATCTATCTCATCTATCTAATCTAACCTGATCTAATCTGATCTAACCTGATCTAATCTGATCTAACCTGAGCTAACCTCATGTAATCTAATCTAACATAATCAAATCTAATCTAATCTGATCTTTTCTATTTACCTATCTATCTATCTATCTACCTATCTATCTATCTACCTATCTATCAATCTATCAATCTATCAATCTATCTATCTATCTATCTATCTAGCTTCCTATCTATCTGCCTATCTACCTATCTGCCTATCTACCTACCTACCCATCTGCCTATTTATCTGTCTATCTTTCTTTCTATCTATCTATCTATCTATCGATCTATCGATCTATCGATCGATCTATCTATCTATCTACCTACCTACCTATCCACCTATTAGTCTATCCATCTATTTGTCTATCTTTCTATGTATTCATCTATCTAAATCTATCCATCTAAATCTATCTATACCTAAATCTATCTATACCTAAATCTATCCATCTAGACCTATCTATACCTAAATCTATCCACCTAAATCTATCTATCTAAATCTATTGATCCAAATCTTTCTAATCTATCTAATCTGTACCATCCATTGATCTATCTATCCATCTATCCATCTATCCATCTATCCATCTAATCTATCTAATCTTTCTAATCTATCTATCTAGCTATCTATCTTTCTATCTTTCTACCTGTCTATCCATCTATCCATCTATCCATCTATCCATCTAGTCTATCTAATCTATCTAATCTATCTATCCATCTATCTATCTATATATCTACCTATCTATCTATCTATCTATCTTACTTATCTGTCTTATCTATCTATCTATCTATCTACCTACCTATCTATCTATCTATCTTTCTACCTATCTATCCAGCTATCCATCTATCCATCTATCCATCTATCCATCTAATCTATCTAATCTATCTAATCTATCGAATCTACCTATCCATCTATCTATCTATATATCTACCTATCTATCTATCTATCTACCTATCTATCTATCTATCTTACTTATCTGTCTTATCTATCTTATCTATCTTATCTATCTTATCTATCTTATCTATCTATCTATCTATCTAGCTATCTACCTGCCTACCTGTCGTATCTATCTTGTCTATCTTATCCTATCTTATCTACCTTATCTATCTTACCTATCTTGTCTATCTAACCTATCTTATCTATCTAATCTAATCTATCTTATCTATCTGATCTGCCTCATCTATCCTATCTGTCCTATCTGTCTTACCTATCTTATCTATCTAACCTATCTTATCTATCTAATCCATCTAAGCTAGCTAAGCTAGCTAATCTAGCTAATCTACCTCATGTATCTCATCTATCTAATCTAATCTGACCTAATCTAATCTGATCTCATCTGATCTAACCTGATCTCATCTGATCTAATCTGATCTCATCTGATCTAATCTGATCTAATCTGATCTGACCTAATCTAACCGAATCCAATCTAATCTAATCTAATCTTATCTTCTATCTAAAGAAATAAGTTGGCCAAATGCTTGCTCCTTTGGTACTACCATACAATGCCTCTTGTGTGGCATTTGGTGCTCCTTTCAATGGGTTTCGCCAGGATCGAAGGTGAACTTCTTAGCTTGGAGCAGTCCATGAGTCCTGAGCTTCTGGAGATGGGGGGGGGGGCATGAAAAATATGGTCATTTTTTCATGGGGCACAGGATGATTTTTTCTGAGTTTTTTGGGAAAAACTTATATCATGTATGCATGTATATATATATATACATATCTATCTACATCTATATCTATATAGGTAGATGGTTGCTGATGGCAAGGGTGTTTTTGATGTTGGAAGTGGGTAGAGGTGAGAAAATTTGATTGACGGTTTAGGATTTTATCAAGAAAACTGGCAGATAGACGCTCCAAAGTGGGGTTTTATGGCCGCATTACACTCCCTCCTTGAAACCTAATTCTTGCAGGTTAAACCCCGTAAAACCCAATATACATGGGATGGGTTGAACATTAAGGCCCAGGGACCGCAGATTCTGTTAATTTTAAGTATTAACGGTCCAATTTTTTTGGGGGTATCTAACTTTGACCCATGCCCCCAGCTGCGGTTCCATATATATCAATCACCCCTTGTAATCACACATGGCTAACTGGAAAATACACGATTTAAAATCATTGAATTGATATGTGATTTTCCCCATGACAAGCGGACAACATCGTAAAAAAAACAGTGTTTAGTTATTTTGGACTGACATTTTACATCCCCACCAACGGCCGCTTTCATGATTTTCCCCATCCAATAATAATCATATCCGTTACCCTCCTATAAACTTTGCCATAAATGCGGAAAACCGACCAATTGTAGATCATATTCCCAAGGTTGGTTTACCCTAGGGTCATAGATACCCAATGATGATTAAATCAAGAATAACCATAATGGAAATGGACTTCCGTTAATAACTTGCTTTAATGGAGATTTGCAATGAAAATCATCAAAATCCCATCCCCCCGTTCCCCACTTGGTGCCATGGTGCAGAGCCAGGAGGGTCAAGTGCTGAGCCGCTCCGCTTCGGAGCCGTCCGTGCTGCTGCGTGCGCAACAGAGCCTGCAGAGCCACGTGCGGAAACTGGGGTGCCTCGGTCTGGCGGCGAAAATCCCTGGGAGAAACCCAAGCTTTTTGATGGTTAGCAAATGGGATTTTAATGGGAGGTCAATGGAATTTAATTGGATTTAATGGGAGTTTAATGGAATTTAATGGGATAGATGGAATGGGACAATCAAACAATGCAAATTGGAAAATCCTCAATGAAATGTAAGTCTTAAAGTTTCTAGCTGGGAAAACCATCGATCTAATTTGAAGATTTTCCATTGCTATGTTTGATTACCAGAAGGTAGTGGCTATTGTAAGCCACTATGGAGTAAGGTCTGAGAGGTTGATAGATCTGATAAATTTGAATGAGAAAATTTGATTCTAAAGTTTGGTGATAATTTTGAAGGCCTTTTGTGCATCTTTTTTGGATGTTACTATGATACAATGATTATAATGCTTATAGGCTTATAGTATAATATTGGATCCTGTTTATAGCTACTACAGGGTATACTTCATGATAAATGAAATGACCAGTCATTTTAGTGGAGATTACAATATGAATACACAAGAATTGTCAGTTACGATGGTTGCAACGGATACAATGTGGGTTTTAATGGAATTCATGATAGGACTTATTTTAATGGGGTTGTGAAAGATACTGGGCATGGGCATTGTAACTAATGGGTATGATGGATAGACGATCATATCATGGACCAAGCTAGATCGGTCTGAAACGACCAGGTAGGGAAGGCCCCCAATGTACGGAAGTGAAACAAATCATCAGACAATTCGATGCCAATCCGTTTGGATTTTGGGGTACTCGTTTTTGAGACCGACAGACCCATGTCTTAATGAGCTTAGGAGTGAAAAACTACTGGGGTAATGGTTATGGTTGTCACAACATGTACAGTATATGGGTCACAACGATGGTTATCATGGACATTTAAAACGGGGGTTATAGTACAGTTACACGACTGACTGTTCGGCTTCCAGCCAGTTTAGATCAATCGACACAATGGTTATTGTGACACAAGGGGTTTAGACCGGATTTATGATGAATGGAATGGTTATCGGCACTTATAGAATGGGTTACAGCTCCAGTAAAATCCCCGTCAGAAGAGGCCGATCGATCGGCTCTTGGGATGGATGACATGCCCATATTTGGGTGAGTTTTCGCAGTGCTCCATTTCAATTTGCTTGGAATCTTGCCAGTCCTCCTCACTTTGTGGTAAAAACATGTAAAAACCATTCAACCTTTGTCGAGAATTGCAATGCATTTTTTTTGGACACCCAGTTTCCTACTTTGTGGAACCGCTAGTTTTTGTGGTAAACATGACCCAAGGTCTCAAAGGACTCATCCCCCGTCCAATTTGCGACCGAGCCGATGGCACCGTCTCGAGGCCTCAACCCAAGATGCAGCGCAATGCGTTCCTGATTTGTCATGGGGACATGTCGACCAAGATCAGGCGAGGCTTCCGAACATTCGCCGGTTGAAGTACCACATGGGAAGAGATGACAATCCGTGGGATGTAGTTTTCATATATTTCAATCATAACCATATTTCAATCCAGCGAACATGGAGTTTTGACCAAGAAAACATACTGCTTAGATAGCCAGCACAGTGGGATCTGTTTTATCATTGAGCCGGATCGTAAGCTTGATATGCCCAAGATGCACAGCTTCCCTGAGGATTTCAGCATGTTTCACCAGCCTTCCAACTGCAAAGTGGGACTTGTTTGGGTAGTTGATCTGGTTATAAAATGTTTGGCAGAGTGGATAATATCTTATATATTCAACTAAAGATCCACAATTTTTGCTGGGCATCTAGATCCACATTTTTTTTTGGTTTGAACCATCGTTTTGGATGCGTCATTCATGGTTTGTGTTGACCTAACCACCATTCTTGATGTCTCATTTCCCGTCAATTCCCATTCTTGATGTGCAATGTGTCTGTCTAAAAAATAGAGTACCCAAAATCTACTGGTCAATCATCACTTTCCTTATTGAATTGGCCACATTGGGGGGTATACCCCATTTTCAGACACACCCGATTCATGTTTTTTGACATGTAAACAACATCGAGCAACACATGCAAACAAAGGAACTTGATGTCAACCGCGCACACACACACACAACATCTTTTTTTCCATTGATGGAACAGCATTGATGTTTCCTTCGCCTTGTGGCCTTAGAAAAGTAGCTGTAAAGGCCGTAAAGGTCCATCTTTAGCTGAAACATCTGTGATTTTTCCACGATTCCCCCGACTCCCCAGCCCCTATGGAGGTCGCCTCCGCTGACGTCCACGGCCAAAGCCATGATGCGGCCCTGTGCTTCAGTGGGGTGCCTGGCACCCACGGAGCATAAGTCCAGGGAACGGATGTCGCCCAGCCCGTGGGAAACTCAGTTGGAGGATGGAAATTGAATTTTGAACCACAGTTGGAGCTGAGTTTTGAGCTCAAAAAATAGATGGGGAAATGCTCACAGGGCTTGTTGGTTAGATTTCACTCTTTTGGGTCGAGGTGGGATTGGGTTGGATCACTCTTGCAGGATGTTAACAGACCCAAGATTTTGGATCACTTGTTTTGAAGCGACAGATGGGTTTGAAACAATGATATAAAACATGGTGATAGAACTCAGGAATGATGGAATTCTGGTGCTGACGGTCATGACGGCAATGACTCAGTAATAAATGGGAGAACCACAGGCATGAGGAACTTAATCATTGCGATTTTCAACTTACCCTCTGGTAATGTAACATAGCTATTGAAAATTGCCATTTATAGTAAGTTTTCCCATTAAAAATGGTGATTTTCCATAGGTATGTTAGTTTACCAGAGGGTACCAACTGGAATGATCCTCCAAAGTCGGATTGATGTCCTCAAGCCTTGGGGGGATTTGACTCTGAAAGAAGTGGAGGACGAGGCAGTCTCAAGTTCCAAAGAAGACACTGTGAAAACAAGTGTCACTGTGTTGTTTTCCTTTGTACCAGGGTTGTTTTTTTTGGTTGCCCCTTCTTGTCTTGGTTTTATAAATAAAGGCGTGTAGGGCCAATGACTCAATAGAAAATCGACATGTTAGCCACAACTGCTTGAAGCTATGTGGTAAATGTCCCATTTCCGAAATGGTCCTGTGGTCTCTGATCACCCCTCCGAAACGTGCTGTGGGAAGATGATTTCCTGTAGGTGTGTCCAAAACTCAAAAAGCACCACCCCAAAAAGTAGACTGCGAATGACTGGATGAGTGTTTTAATAATGTCATTTTCTGGAATATCTGGACCATTCCGAAGGGTCCCGGCGACGTCAATGGGTCGCCTGAGGTACAACTTGCCATGACGTGGCCGAGCAAGTGCCTAGGTTTTTCTTGAGTGGACTGCAGAAATCTGTTCCAAAAATTCAATCAACACATTTTACACACATTTCATAGATGTTGCTTCCTTGGAACAACCTGGAGATTTTGAAACAAACGCTCGAACTGTGACCTCGCCGCGTCGTTGAAGATGACGGGGCGAGGTCGAGGTTGGCAGTTTCACTCAGCTGGAAGTCTCATGTGGATTCATGTGGCGCTTCAAAAAGAACACTGGAGCCTCACTGAGTCCCTGGTAGCGGTTCGGAACCAGTTCCCAAGCGGCCTATGTGGGATGCTCCCAGAAGACGTTTAGGCACAAGGATCAAATTTGGCCTCCCAACTTCAACTCAGAGGTACGAGATTGTACAAGTGCAAACCTGACCAGTTTCGTGATGCTGATGAAGTCATTGGCCCCAGGAGTTGCTTGATGAAACTTCCTCAGATCTACAACATCTTGAAGGCACGGCCTTCGCTGCATTGTCCACAAGGAACACCATGGAATTTCCTTGCAACCGGTGTTTTCTACTTGCAATTAGTTGACCAGAAAGCCAGTTTATTGTTTATCATTCTCTATTCTTTTCCCCAGCTTTCTTGGCAAAAAACCCTCAGACATCATCAACGACCAATAATAATAAAACATATCCAACCATCACCCAAAACTCACCCAAAAACTCAAGAAACATCATCAAGAACCACCAAGCATCAGTCGTTTTCCTATTTTTTTTCCGAATTTTGTTATTTCCTTGATTTCCAATAGGTGCCTGGAATAGGCAAACATAAAGCTAGAAATTCAGCCCAAAAAAACCATCGAAATGCCGAGGCTGGTAGCGTGGTGGGGCTGTCGGAGGCCTGGCTGGTGAACGAATGCATTGCGAGTTTGCTCTTCGTGCCTTGGGCGGTGGATGTTTTGTGGGATTCTTTGATGGGATGTATAGGCAACAATACGATATTACACACACACATATATATATACATATATACCCATATATACACATACATATACACACATATATATATATACACATATGTATGTATGTATATATATATACTCATATTACTACAGTATATGGTAGGTCATTAAGATGTCATAATGTATTATACATGGGGATATCGAAAGGGTTGTAAATCCGATTATGATGGACTACAATCCAACTGGGACATCATATTGATATTTTACCTTTATATAGAAAGATCCGTTACTGCTTAGGGAAGTAATGATTGATATTTTCGTTTTGGCTCAGACATCGGGGTTGGGTCAAAACCTATGACGTTCCTGCATTTTGGGAGTCCAGAACAGCCAGCTGTTCTGATGTTCGACCTTCCCCAAAAGACCGGATATGGGGTTTTCCAATAATTCATCCAGCTATTGGGTAGCCCCGATGAGTATGGAAACATATGGAGGTTCCCATGTTTCGGGGGTGGAACCCGTGGAAGCCCGGAGTTTTTGTTCGGCCAAGGGACCGAAGTGGACCATCTGTGACGACCGAGGTCTACTACAACGTCCTGTCGGGGTATCCCTTCATGTCCTTCGGAGAAAACGTGATCGTTGGCCTCCAAAATATGGTGGTTCGGAGCCCTAAGCCATGCTAGGCATCAAGAGGGATCTTGATGGACTGGCCTGTTGGTGGCCAAGGGGCAGGAAAAAAAAGACACATATGTACATGTGAGAGTATGTATATATATATAGGTATAGAGATGGGGATGTTTGAAACTTGGGGAGCCTGTAGTCATCCATTCGATGCTCAAGATAATGAGCGAGGAAAGTACTAGTCTGCGTCCTGCGTATTCGATTTTAGTTGATGTATCAAACACGAGGTTTCAAGGTCTTAGAATTACTCCCTCTCCACCCACCATGAATGGCTCATCATACCGATTACCCTTGGTGGCCAAATAAGTCTGTACCAGGTGGTTTAGGGAGATGCCGTATCTAGTCATCAACCAACAAAGTGTAGCCGTATCAACAGCATCTAATAGCTCATTAGAGAGAATCATCAATTCATTTATCCCACATAGATTGAATCACAATCATATTCTAGCCCCCTTTTTGCGGGTCGCATTCGAACATATTTGGGGCTGGAGTTCCTTCCGCCGTGTTTTTTTAGGGTATAAATTATGATGATATCCATCAACTGGGATTGTTCTACATATATGGAGATTTCCTAAAAAGGGGGTACCCCCAAACCCTCCATTTTATTTTCGGATTTTCCATTGTAAATCATCCAGCTATTGGGGGTACCCCCATTTTGGGAAACCTCCATATACCCTCTGGTAATTTAACGTAGCTATTGAAAATGGCCATTAATAGTGGATTTTCCCATTAAAAATGGTGATTTTCCATAGCTATGTTAGTTTACCAGAGGGTAACTCAATGATAGTTGAGAACCTGGGACTTCCATAGCGCAGATCATCGTGCTATTCTGGCAGTACAGCCCACAGCTGCCACGGCTGCCCGGGAGCTCTGCAGAGAGACAGGGAGAAGCATACGAAAGGGATACGGAAAACCATGGAAAACTAAGGGAAACCATGGGAAACCCATAGGAAAACCCATAGGAAAATCATGTACACATGTTGGATTTTCATTTTTTTACACATCAATTTACATTTGATTCGGAATTTTCTTTTTTTTTGTTGATTTACGGTCGGGTCACATCAAAAAATCTTGGGGTCATCACACCCAACCAATGGGACTTACAGTCGAGGTCCGATAGCTCTACCAAGGGATCGGAGGGATCAAACAATCAGAGCTACCGGAGATGAACTTACCGCAATCATGGGGACATCAGTTGAACCTTTATCATCTCCACTAAGAGGGTTTTTTTCGGCGCTTAAGGTAGCCCCAGACCTTGGTGATCACCATCCCATATGGAACAACCATAGGTTTTGATCCCAGTGATGCTGCCATCACCGAGTGCACCGAGTGCACCGAGTCCACGGGTCGCGGGCTCCGCAATCTTCTTGCTGGCCAGTGTGGCAGTTTTGGTCTTAGGTGCGGCCGGGGTGACTTGTTGGCTGAGCTGCCAGGGCTGCCGGGAAGGTGATCATGGCACTCGGATCAAGTCGGGATTTCCTGATTCAGAGGATTAGTTTGCCTCTCAAATCATTAGAATGGTGACTCATAAGTGTAAGATTGTAAGTAAATGATCAGAATATGATGAATACCCACAACGATTATATGATCATATATGATCGCAATCACTTGCTATTACTATATCCGTACTAAACATATTATCCATGGGTTACCATATCCTCTGGCAATCAAACATGGCTTGCTGAAAAATCCACCATGTAGGTCCGGGATTTTCCAGCGGCTTGGCATGTTTGATCGCCTGAGGGTATGATCCAATATTCAATATCAACATGCCATTCTTATTCCATTCATCTTCCATTGATATTCCATTCATCTTCCATTGATATTCCATTCATCTTCCATTGATATTCCATTCATCTTCCATTGATATTCCATTCATCTTCCATTGATATTCCATTCATCTTCCATTGATATTCCATTCATCTTCCATTGATATTCCATTCATCTTCCATTGGTATTCCATTCATCTTCCATTGATATTCCATTCATCTTCCATTGATATTCCATTCATCTTCCATTGATATTCCATTCATCTTCCATTGATATTCCATTTTATCTTCCATTGATATTCCATTTTATGTTCCATTGATATTCCATTCTATCTTCCATTGATATTCCATTCATCTTCCATTGGTATTCCATTCATCTTCCATTGATATTCCATTCATCTTCCATTGATATTCCATTCATCTTCCATTGATATTCCATTCATCTTCCATTGATATTCCATTCATCTTCCATTGATATTCCATTCATCTTCCATTGATATTCCATTCATCTTCCATTGATATTCCATTCATCTTCCATTGATATTCCATTTTATCTTCCATTGATATTCCATTCCATCCATTCCCATTGGTATTCCATTCATCTTCCATTGATATTCCATTCATCTTCCATTGATATTCCATTCATCTTCCATTGATATTCCATTCATCTTCCATTGATATTCCATTCATCTTCCATTGATATTCCATTCATCTTCCATTGATATTCCATTCATCTTCCATTGATATTCCATTCCATATCCATTTTCCATTGATATTCCAGATATTCCATTCATCTTCCATTTATATTCCATTCATCTTCCATTGATATTCCATTCATCTTCCATTGATATTCCATTCATCTTCCATTGATATTCCATTCATCTTCCATTGATATTCCATTCATCTTCCATTGATATTCCATTCATCTTCCATTGATATTCCATTCATCTTCCATATTATTCATAGACCCACTGTACAAATCATGACACTTCGCCTCCGATCAAGGCTTGCCTGCCGCGGCTCTGGCGGCTCTGGGCGGTGCGCCCATCTTCCTAGGCGGAAACGGCGGAAACGGCGGAACGATCCGGTCGGTTTTTCGAGAAAAATCAACGGCTATTCAGTGTGAACCTAGTAATGTCAACGGGTTTATTAATTAGGGGGGTACTCCCCAAATAGTCATAATCTGATACTTAAATGGTATCCCCCCAATTAAACAACCTAGAGGTTTATTAATCCGGGGTTGACATTATGGTAGTACCAGAAATTATTAGATGATACTATGTAATAGTAGTAATATATCATGAAAATAGTATCCCGGAGAATCAGTGGGATTTTCAGGATCCATTTTAATGGAGCTACTGTAGCATATTTCAGGCCATATTTTGTGGTGATATTCTGAAAAATACCCCGTGGTAAATTAACATAGACCCTGAAAATGACCAATTTATAGTGGAAACTAGTCTTCCAACCCCTATCTGGCAGGGTCTATGTTAATTTACTGGAGGGTAGGCCTTATATATGGTAGGTACCTCCAATCAATCGGTTCCTGAGTCATGGCCATTGAGGTATGAGTCAAAGTTAAGGATTTCGGGGGACCACAGATTGGAATGTCTATGTTTAGTATGAACATGAAAAATGAAAATTGGGTATCCAATTTTGACCAACTTTTGCTCTAAACATGAACGTTTGGGTTCCAAAATGGATGGTTTATCATGGAAAATCCGAAAATGACATGAATGATTGAGGGGTACCACCATTTTAGGAAACCTTCAAATGAATCTATGACTATATTTATCTGCACATACACACGTATCCATACATATCCATGACTATCTATGCATATCTAATCTATCTTATCTTTCTCTTTGTCTTCATCTTTTCCTCATCTAATCCAATCTAGTCTAGTCTAGTCTATCCATCTCTAAGAATATCTTTGTATGCACAGATGCCCCTGAGCCTTGCTAGAAAGGCTTACTTAGGAACGCTTCAGCCAGTTTCAACCTGCAGCCTCCGTCGTTGGTCCGTTGGTCCGGCACTGCCCTGTGAGGCAATGGCGCGAAAGTTCCCCAGATCTTGAAGAACATGTCGCAAAAACACACGGGGACCATGTCCGTAGTGTCGGAAGCTCAGGATGTTACGTTGGCTAGGTAAGGTGGTGCTGTGAAAAACACATGTAGGTTTGGGGTCGATTCTAATCTATACTATACCTAGATTCTTATTTGATGATCATGGTCTAATCATGAACCACAGCTATTAATCATAATCATTTTGAACTATTAAATTACATACCCTCTGGTAATTTAACATATAACGATAGACAATCAGCATTTTTAATAGGTATTCATCTAAAATGGGCAATTTTCCAGAGCTATGTCTGGGCCAAGGCCGGCCTTTCTAGGCTTCGCCGGGTGCAGTGTCCGCGTGGGGAGCTTAGCTGTGTTGGTACCCGCGTGTAATCAGGATATGCCAAGGGAAATCCTACATGTTTGCGGGTTGAATATGAAATTCATCTGTAAATTGGGCATTTCGATGAGGAAACTATCTATAAATGGGGATTTGAATATGACCATCACTGATCAATGAAGGACTTTCCATTGAGAGGTTCGATTAAGAGAGGGTAGATCAACATTGCATAGCCCAAAATGGCTGAGCCTTTTCTCACGGTGAAGTTTCAGGTCCTCCCGGCTAGCGATTCAACGGCTCAACTAGCGGAGAAACTGGGGTAATGGGCAATGGCAATGCGATAAACCATCACTTGGGGATGGTTGGCATCCCAGCCATTTCTGGTCAGTTTTGCATATTTGTCAGGTATACCATTGATGGGTCAATGGCTTTAAAGGGTTCCAACCCATGCCATGGGACATTTCTCGATGTGCGATGGCTTCGACGGCCGAGGTATTGACGTCCATCTTGCAGATGCCGGAAGATTTGCTGGCGATCATGAACCCCTTGACTGCAGCGCTGATGTGGTTCGTGCTACTGGTACAGCCTGGAACTCAGGTAGATGACAGGAGTTTGTCCCGGAGCTTGGAGGGATTTTGGCCCCTGAAGAATGACGTGGAAACTACTTACAAGATCTTACAAGCAAAGGATTTTGAAGATGAATTTTGTATTGGAGCCACTTTGTGGTGTGTTCCGTGTTAGATTTCAGGGGTCTGTACAGGTGGTTCAAATTTGCAAAAGAAGAGAGGATTCCGACATTTCACAGATTTTTTTTGGTATCATCTGCCAATTTCCCATCCTTTAATCCTTTGGCTCAAACATGTGGCTCAAGACAACATGGCCCCCAATTGAGTTTCACATCCAAACATCACTAGCATTCGGGCGACAGTTTTGGGACGTGACCAGCAGCGAGTAGCAGGGTGAACTGACCCACCCCCAAATGGGTACTTGTATGTGGCCGACATGATCAAACTCCCAACCTGGATCAACCAAGTTATGAACATGTTTGCGGATGGTTTACGGCAAGTTCCAAAAGCCGGCCCTCGGCCCCCTTCCGGGCAAAAAAATTAGCGACATTTGACATGCCCGGGCTTGCCAAATTTCGTGGGTCAGGGGGGGTATGGTTGAAAAAAGGGCCAACAGGGGGAAAAAAGAATTTTAGGTTTTCAGCTGCAGGGGTGAATGCCCAAGGGTTGCACCCTTTTTTGCCAGCTTGTCAACAGGTTAAACACACAGTGTCATCTACGAAGCTCGGCTGTTTTGGTGCCGAAAACAGCATTTTGCAGCTAAAAAAGGCCAATTTGAGGCATTTTTGGGCAAAAATCATATAACATATGAATGTGCTTGCTATCTCTGAATTCAACAGGATGATCAATGTGGTTTTTTCTTTTTCAAATTGGCATGATGAGTTTCATGGAAATGCCAAAAATGGCGGTAAAATACAGTTTTTGGTGCTGAACATGGCACATGCCACTGAACAGAGTCAGTCGACCAAACACCATGATGGCAATTATTGAATTTTGTGATTTTTTTTTCTGTGTTTTGCAGCGAGGAACATCCAGGTTTTTCAAGAAAAACACACAAAATTCGGGATTTTGTGCCATTTCTGTGAAACATGTCATCAAATTAATTTGGCTGAAAGACACTCGACCGTTGATTCCTCCTTCTTTGGCATGTAAATGACATGATTAAACGCGAGGAAATTCCAAACATGTATCAAAAACCTGGCCAATTTGGCTGAAACTTACAAAGCAAAGCACAAACATCTAAGTGCATCAAACTACAACCATGACTTGTGAGGAAAAAAATGGTGCCATGAACATGATATACTGACTGACTGACTTTTATTTGTTTGAACCTCAAGTGATTTTTTGTTTTTGAACAAAAAAACTGCCACTTTTGACAATTTTGTGGCTTTCTTGCACCTAGTCCAGCGAATCAGCATTGTCAAAAGTCGACAAACATCATTGCTTTTGGTTGCAAATAGTTAGCGCTGAATGTGCGGTGTGCTCAAACATTGTGTGGTGTTGCGTGGTGCTGCGTCGTGCTTGCGCTGCCTTTGCTTGCTGGTTTGCTCACGCTCTGGAAACTTCCATTTGGGTGTTGAACTTCCGCACTTGGAAGCATGTGTATTTGAAAGTTTTAAGTTTTCCTTGCTCTGTCTAGCGATTGCCATCTTAGGGTTCCACACGTCCCTCCTCTCTTCTTTGTTTGAGAGATTTTTGGACACACTGTGTGGTTGTCCTAGATGTTTGAGTTTGCTGCCAAAAAGCAAGTGTGTTTGAAGCCACTTGAAGATTGAAGCCCGAAGCCTTGAGGTTGAAGGCTTGAAGCAATATGTCAATGAATTGAACCTTTGTAAATTGTAAAACTAATCTATGTAAATCATGACTGAATGGAGAGATGGGCAGTGAGACGCAGTGATTCCAAAATTCAGTTTTTTTCTTCTGAATTCAGATTCAGGTTCGTTGTTGTTGTTGTTGTTGTTGTTGTTGTTGTTGTTGCAGCTGCAGTTGCAGTTGCAGTGTCATTGTCAGATGATGTAAAAGTAGTGGTAGACCACTTCAACATCACGATGTCAACATCACGCTGCCCTTTTTTCGTTTTTTTAGGGTTTAGGGTTTCTCGGGAGATTTACATTTTTTGTTTGGCTTTCAATTTCCGAATAAAGTTTCCTTTGGTCCCAATGGGCTGATGCGGTAGCGCTGCTAACTTTAGCATATTGTATTTGTTCTTTTTTTGTTCTGCAACAGTAGTTCCGCCCTGCCCCCCCCCTCTATGACCGTTCTAAAATATTTAGGGCGCCGAAGGCGCCGAAAAAAAAAACAGTACATAGTACTAGTACATAGTACATACAGTGCCTGCGCCAGACGCGAAAAAAAAACAAAAACACCTCTAATTTTTTTAAGGTTTCAAAACAAGACGGAAAAAAGTTTTAGTTCCAAAAAAAGAACTAAAACTTTTTCAGTTTTCGAAACAAGATGGAAAAAGTTTTAGTTCCAAAAAAAAGAACTAAAACTTTTTCGGGTTTCAAAACAAGATGGAAAAAAGTTTTAGTTCCAAAAAAAAAGAACTAAAACTTTTTCGGGTTTCAAAACGAGATGGGAAAAAAGTTTTAGTTCCAAAAAAAAGAACTAAAACTTTTTCGGGTTTCAAAACAAGATGGGAAAAAAGTTTTAGTTCCAAAAAAAAGAACTAAAACTTTTTCAGGTTTCAAAACGAGATGGGGAAAAAAATAGTTCCAAAAAAAAGAACTAAAACTTTTCCGGGTTTCAAAACGAGATGGGAAAAAATTAGTTCCAAAAAAAAAGAACTAAAACTTTTTCGGGTTTCAAAACGAGATGGAAAAAAGTTTTAGTTCCAAAAAAAAAGAACTAAAACTTTTTCGGGTTTCAAAACGAGATGGGAAAAAAGTTTTAGTTCCAAAAAAAAAGAACTAAAACTTTTTCAGGTTTCAAAACGAGATGGGAAAAAAGCTTTAGTTCCAAAAAAAAGAACTAAAACTTTTTCGGGTTTCAAAACGAGATGGGAAAAAAAAATAGTTCCAAAAAAAAGAACTAAAACTTTTTCGGGTTTCAAAACGAGATGGAAAAAAGTTTTAGTTCCAAAAAAAAGAACTAAAACTTTTTCAGGTTTCAAAACGAGATGGGAAAAAAGTTTTAGTTCCAAAAAAAATGAACTAAAACTTTTTCGGGTTTCAAAACGAGATGGGAAAAAAAGTTTTAGTTCCAAAAAAAAAGAACTAAAACTTTTTCGGGTTTCAAAACGAGATGGAAAAAAAGTTTTAGTTCCAAAAAAAAAGAACTAACACTTTTTCGGGTTTCAAAACGAGATGGGAAAAAAGTTTTAGTTCCAAAAAAAAAGAACTAAAACTTTTTCAGGTTTCAAAACGAGATGGGAAAAAAGTTTTAGTTCCAAAAAAAAGAACTAAAACTTTTTCGGGTTTCAAAATCCAAATTCAAATTCAACTAGAGCCAATGATCCAGCTGAAGACAGAAATCACTGTGACACTTGAAGGGCTTGGTGTATTTTTTTTCTGGTCAATCATTTGGTAAAATACTGTGAATGTTTTTGTTTTTTTAAATGCATTTTCTTGATGTTTTTTTTCAAAATTAAAAAATGAAAAAAAATTCTTTTTTTTCCTTAAATTCCAAAAAAAAAGTTTTAGTTCTTTTTTTTTAGAACTAAAACTTTTTAGTTCTTTTTTTTCCAAGACTTCTACGTTGAAAATCCACATGAAATCCTTGAAAAATGTGCTTTTTTGATCAAATTTCTACGTAGAAAGAGCTGAAAATCAATGACTTCTACGTAGAAATTTGATCAAAAAAGCACATTTTTCAAGGATTTCATGTGGATTTTCAACATAGAAGTCTTGAAAAAAAGAACTAAAAAGTTTTAGTTCTAAAAAAAAAGAACTAAAACTTTTTTTTGGAATTTAAGGAAAAAAAGAATTTAATTTTTTTCATTTTTTTTTAATCTTGAAAAACAAAACATCAAGAAAATGCATTAAAAAAAACAAAAACATTCACAGTATTTTACCAAATGATTGACCAGAAAAAAAATACACCAAGCCCTTCAAGTGTCACAGTGATTTCTGTCTTCAGCTGGATCATTGGCTCTAGTTGAATTTGAATTTGGATTTTGAAACCCGAAAAAGTTTTAGTTCTTTTTTTTTGGAACTAAAACTTTTTTCCCATCTCGTTTTGAAACCTGAAAAAGTTTTAGTTCTTTTTTTTGGAACTAAAACTTTTTTCCCATCTCGTTTTGAAACCTGAAAAAGTTTTAGTTCTTTTTTTTTGGAACTAAAACTTTTTTTCCATCTCGTTTTGAAACCCGAAAAAGTTTTAGTTCTTTTTTTTTGGAACTGAAAAAGTTTTAGTTCTTTTTTCTAAAACTTTTTTCCCATCTCGTTTTGAAACCTGAAAAAGTTTTAGTTCTTTTTTTTTGGAACTAAAACTTTTTTCCCATCTCGTTTTGAAACCCGAAAAAGTTTTAGTTCTTTTTTTTTGGAACTAAAACTTTTTTCCATCTCGTTTTGAAACCCGAAAAAGTTTTAGTTCTTTTTTTTTGGAACTAAATTTTTTTTTTTTCCATCTCGTTTTGAAACCCGAAAAAGTTTTAGTTCTTTTTTTTTGGAACTAAAACTTTTTCCCATCTCGTGTTTGAAACCTGAAAAAGTTTTAGTTCTTTTTTTTTGGAACTAAAACTTTTTTCCCATCTCGTTTTGAAACCTGAAAAAGTTTAGTTCTTTTTTTTGGAACTAAAACTTTTTTCATCTCGTTTTGAAACCCGAACAAGTTTTAGTTCTTTTTTTGGACTAGATTTTTCCCATCTCGTTTTGAAAACCCGAAAAGTTTAGTTCTTTTTTTGGAACTAAAACTTTTTTCCATCTCGTTTTGAAACCTGAAAAAGTTTTAGTTCTTTTTTTTGGAACTAAAACTTTTTTCCCATCTCGTTTTGAAACCTGAAAAAGTTTTAGTTCTTTTTTTTGGAACGAAAACTTTTTTCCCATCTTGTTTTGAAACCCGAAAAAGTTTTAGTTCTTTTTTTTGGAACTAAAACTTTTTTCCCATCTCGTTTTGAAACCCGAAAAAGTTTTAGTTCTTTTTTTTTGGAACTAAAACTTTTTCCATCTTGTTTCGAAAACTGAAAAAGTTTTAGTTCTTTTTTTTTGGAACTAAAACTTTTTCCATCTTGTTTTGAAACCTGAAAAAGTTTTAGTTCTTTTTTTTTTGGAACTAAAACTTTTTCCGTCTTGTTTTGAAACCTTTAAAAAATTAGAGGTGTTTTTTGTTTTTTTTTTCGCGTCTGGCGCAGGCACTGTATGTACTATGTACTAGTACTATGTACTGTATTTTTTTTCGGCGCCTTCGGCGCCCTAAATATTTTAGAACGGTCATAGAGGGGGGGGGGCAGGGCGGAACTACTGTTGCAGAACAAAAAAAGAACAAATACAATATGCTAAAGTTAGCAGCGCTACCGCATCAGCCCATTGGGACCAAAGGAAACTTTATTCGGAAATTGAAAGTCAAACAAAAAGATGTAAATCTCCCGAGAAACCCTAAACCCTAAAAAACGAAAAAAGGGCAGCGCTACCGCGTGGGCCCTTCTGGGCAAATGGAAAGTTTTATTCGGAATTTGGGAACAAATGAAAATTATGTAAACCTAAGCCCTAAACCTTATAAAAAACAAAAAAAGGCAGCGCTACCGCGTGGGCCCTTCTGGGCCAAAGGAAACTTTTATTCGGAAATTGGAAGCTAAACAACAAAAATGTAAACCACCCTAAAACCTAAACCTTAAACCCTAAAAAAAGAAAAAAGGGCAGCGCTACCGCGTGGGCCCTTCTGGGCCAATGGAAAGTTTTATTCAAAATTGGGAAGAAATGAAAATTATATAAACCTAACCTAAACCCTAAACCCTAAAACATGAAAAAGGGGCAGCGCTACCGCGTGGGCCCTTCTGGCCAAAGGAAAACTTGTATTCGGGCTTATTAATCCAAAAAAATGCTAAACCCTAAACAGTAAAAACTTCAACTAAAAAAGGACAGCGCTACCGCTTCCGGCCATTGGGGCCAAAGAAAAGTTAAACTGTGGAATTTGGGGTCCAAATTGTAAGTAATTGACCTTCAGCACAAAGAAAGGTTTGCAGTTTGAATTTGAAGAACTTGAAGCAGAAACTCATGCCGGATGGCTGGATAGCTGGATGGACTAGAGCAGGGTCTGGGGGTTTGCGACTGCTATGTTTGTGGAACGCTTGCTGCAAAGCTCAGCTTGGCGATTGAGACTTGCATTTCCATTGATAATCAAAATCAACAGCTTTGGGAACTTGACGGACTCGGACTTGTTGTTTGGACATTCTTGGGACGCGTTCTTTCTCCCGGTTTCGCGGCGACGCGCTTTCTGTCCACGCGTCTTAACCCTCGCCATCGCATCCTTGTCACTCACCTTCTGCAAGCGCTAAATATACCATATTGTGTGCTAATTTTTGCATTTTTAAATCGCAGTTTGTGTTGCTGAGAAATGAGAGACAGCTTTATGAATGTTTGTAGCCCATTTCTCGGGTTGTCAAGTGCAGTGTTTCACTTCAATTTTCCATGATTAGGTGATATTTTGACAATATTTGTCAAAATGGCCATTGCTTTCTTCAATGGGCATGAATGGTGACCACTGACATGACAGCGATAAGGTTTTTTCACAAACCAATCTATGGGTCAGAGTAACAAAAAATGCAGTTTTTCATCGATTTTTTCATTTTTGGTCATATTTCTGGTTAACTGATCAAGGAAAAGTGACTGTCCCTTTTGTTTTTAATTATAATTGCCAAATCACATTGCCAGGATATTTTTCATCTGTTTTGCTGGCATCAGCTACGTAGAAGCATGGTTTTTGGCAATTTTGGGCTGTTTTAGCACATTTTTAGTTGTTTTTTGGTGAAAACACAGTTTGAAATGTCATTTTGCGCGCATTGTGAGCAGTATGGTGCAGATGCACTGGCTTGGCCAGGGCAAGGAAAAAACCTTAAATCCTTTTTTTTCCTTTCGACCCTTTTTTCATTTTTCTCAGCCCCAAAACCCCCTGACCCACGAAATTTGGCACCCGGGCTGCCAAGGTTTTTGATGTTCTATGAGGCCACTAAGAAGGTGCAAGAAGAGGTGCGTCCCCAATTTGGGGCCAGTTGTTTTCGAACGGGAATGGGTCAACACCCATTGAACCAGCTATTTTGCAACAGAGGTAGCAGGGTTTTGCAGGCCCGGGGGCGAATCAACTGATCTATTTAGGACCATCAAACTCTAGAGGTGCCCCATGAACCATGGGATATTCCGATTCCCCAGTTGATCCTCTGCATGAATGAAAAAGCAGCTTCACTAGTCAGAACAATCATCCGAAATTTCAAAAACTGGCTTGCTTCCAGTTTAGGACTTACCCTCTGGTTTTCCATAGAGTGCTATGAAAAATCCGTGCTTTTAATGGATACCCTCCAGTAATCAAACATGGCATGCTGGAAAATCCATGATTTAGATGATGTTCCGATTAAAACGCGGGAATTCGCAGCCAGATTTGATTCCAGGCGGGTACATCCCATTAAACATCCAAATTCGGTGTCCATTATTATCATTGGATCACCAGTTATGATGTTCCCCATTCAAATTCCCATACAATACCCATGAATCCCATGAAATTCTCATTAAATCACAGTGAATGCCACTAAATCACCATGGTTTTCCCCTGAAATTCTCCGCTCTCTTCTGCTTCACGCAGGCAGAGGCGAAAAAGAAAGCGGCCGCCAAGAAAGCGGAGTGACGGAGTGCCTTGGAGATTGGATCTGTTGGGACCAGGGCTTCGAGTGCAACGAATACCCTTTGGTAAACTAACATAGCCATGGAAAATCCCAATTTTTAATGGGAAAACTCACTATAAATGGCCATTTTCCATAGCTATGTTAAATTACCAGAGGGTACATGTTTTTTTTCTTATGTTTTTTTCATGATTTCTTTAGCACGTAGAGTAAATTGAGTAGATCTAGGATCTTGACAAGAAACACCAGCTGGATGGTAGCTATCTCCCTGTGTAGGTCAGTTCCTACAGTCTAAGGTGTCTTGAATGCTTCACATCTGATTCCTGATTTGATGGCATATGTTTGGGATTTGTTTGGGTCACTTGGTTTCCCGAACGGCTTGGTTTGGGGCCCTTGCTGATGTTTGGACACGCCCAAATCTCTACATGGAAGCCATCACCGCACCCCATTTGAGTTTTATCGACACGCACTCATTATCCACCATTATCATCCATTATCCACCAACCTTGCAGTCTTCTAATTGCAAATAAGACTCATTCTCCACATCCTTCCCACCAGTTTCATTCAAGAGATATTAAGAATAAACTTAAAAAACTATTGTCTGGGGTTGGTCTCCCAAAACAATGGCCATTACACTGAAAAATATATCTGGGTTTGTATTCGAACAGCTCCAAGTCCGTCGACTCTTCCAGTTTCCAGGTAAGCAGCCGGCGACCAATAAAAAACCAATCTCGGAAAGACGAGTTTGCGTGGGAAGAAATGGAAAAGTTTGAAGCTGCTACTGTTGACGTGTGACTCTTGACATCACAGGAGTTTGTTTACACTTGTAACATCCCATACGCTCCATGCATGGTATGTATACGTATATATATATATAATATATATAATATATATAATATAATATAGTGTGTATATATTATATCTAGAAATGTAGTATATACAAATAGTATTTATACATATAGTATATATATATATATGTATTAAAACTAGTATATGTAGTATGATATTATACATATACATGATATTATATATATAATATCTAGTATATGTAGTATATTTATATTCTATATATTATATCTAGTATATGTAGTATATACAGTGTATATATATAAAGTATATATAGTGTATATAGCATATATATAGTATATATATAGTAAATATATATATATAGTATATATATATAGAGTACATATATAGTGTATTTATAGTACATATATAGTGTATTTATAGTACATATATAGTGTATTTATAGTACATATATAGTATATATGTAGTACATATATAGTATATATACAGTACATATATAGTATATATATAGTACATATATATAGTATATATATATAGTGTATATATATATATTATATAGTATATATATATAGTATATATAGTACATATATATAGTATATATAGTATATATAGTATATATACACACTATATATATATAGTATATATATATAGTATATATATATAGTATATATATAGTATATATATAGTATATATATAGTATATATATAGTATATATATATATATTATATAGTATATATAGTATATATAGTATATATATAGTATATATATAGTATATATATAGTATATATATATATAGAGTATATATATAGTATATATATATATTATATAGTATATATATATGGTATATATATATATAGTGTGTATATATATTATATATATAGTATATATATAGTGTGTATATATATATTATTTATATAGTATATACATATAGTGTCTGTGTATACATATATACTATATTGAAAGTATATGTAGAATAGTATATATATATATGTATAGATACAGTACATATAGAATAGTATATATATATTACATTATATATAGTATATATAGTATATATATACTGTATATACTATATATATACTATATATACTATATATACTATATATACTATATATACTATATATACTATATATACTATATATACTATATATACTATATATACTATATATACTATATATACTATATATACTATATATACTATATAGTATATATACTATATATATACTATATATATACTATATATACGATATATACGATATATACTATATATACTATATAAATACACTATATATACTATATATATACTATATATACTATATATACTATATATACTATATATACTATATATACTATATATACTACATATACTACAAATACTATATATATATTTAAGTTTTTTTATAGTATGTATATAGATAGTCTATATATAGAGTATATATATAGTATATGTTGTATATATATATAGAGTATATATGTATATATATATATCAGATCCTGTATATGTAGTATATATATATAGTATAAATATGTAGTATATATATGTAGTATATATATAGCATACATATATATAGTATAATATATATATGCTACATATGTATAGATATATATATATAGTATAGACTATATATATAGTATATATGTATAGTATATATATATAGTATCTATGTATAGTATATATATAATAAATAGATATATAGTATATATATAGTATATATATAGTATATATATATAGTATATATATATAGTATATATATAGTATATATATAGTATATATATATAGTATATATATAGTATATATATATAGTATATATATATAGTATATATATATGTAGTATATATATATAGAGTGTATATGTAGTGTATATATATAAAGAGTATATATATAGTTCATATATATATATAGTATATACATATACACTATATATATATAGTATATATATATAATAATAATAATAATTTGTATTTGAACCATATCTTTGGGGTAAAATGTTGGTATTCACGGAGAAGATGGGCATGCTCCCGGGTTCCAAAATCGACGGCACGGCTCAACATCAACGTAGCGTTTGCGGTGGTCATGGCGCTTACTCCTGCTATGGGGCCCAGAGGGGAGACGCTGGCGTGGCATGGGGTTGTAACTGGATGGCTACTCTTATGATTAATATCGAGAGGATTTGGACAGGAAAAAAACTAACTACATATATATATATATACATAATATATATATATATATATGTATGATATATATATATATATATCGGTATAGTATCATTAAGAGCTTCGGTTTTGAGTCCATTCCGCAGCAGTTGAACACGAACGTTATTAGGGGGCTTGTGAAACGTGCACAACTCCTATGAAACGTGCACAACTCCTATGAAACGTGCGCAACTTCTATGATTTATATAAGTTCTCAAACACTGCAAAAAGCTCTTAACGATACTATACCCATATATATAATACCCATATATATAATATATATATATAATATAATATATATAATATAATATAATATAATATATATATATATGTATAATATATATATATATACACATGTGTGGCATGTATTTTCAGGCATCGCACCACACCGCCACTATGATTTCAATGCCGAGTGAATCAACGTTTTTCACCATCCTTTTGAACGCTGGCCGTGGATTCCCCTTGGGGTGTTGAACCTTCCCCCATGCCATCAGACAATAGTCTTAGCCAGATTTGGGGTCAGTTTTCTCCACCCCCAAAGGGGGTCAAAAGTCAAGATGAGACATAGATATACAGATGTGTGATGTGATGTGATGTGATATATACTGTAATACGATATAGTATATATATGATATATGTATACTGTATACTATGTTTTTACATCTATGATATAGACAATACAGATGTTGCTTTAGACTTGCTGATGTGGAAAGACACACCGCCCATATTTTTGTAGATGAATGGCCCCCTGCAACCGTGGCTGAGGATGTGCTTTGGGCTCAGCGGCCCGATGGGGTCTTTCTGACCATCGACCTTAATGAGGCACAAGATATCAAGGCCCTGTGGGCGTGGAGCTGAAACCGAAACACATGGCTTAAACATAGTGTGTACCCCATGGTACCCAATGGTTTTGCTGATCATTATCCCTATTAAAAATGGCTATTTCATTGGGAAGATTAACCCTATTTTCAGACAAACCCATATGATGATATATGATGATATATGATGATATTTTTTTTGGCTTTTATCAAAGCGTTCAGACTGTCTTTGTTTGGCTGAAAGGGGTGATTTGCAAGGATTCTCTTTTCGGCGGCCATGCGATGTTTTTCTGGTTGGACTTTTGTGAGTCCAGGTATGAGATAGAACCGCGATTCGCTGCATTTTCCAGTCAAACATTGCAGGAAACCAGGGCACCCCTACCCAAATATATCAAATATATCAAAATTGAGAGTTCCTTACTAAGTTTCTACACCAATTCCGGGTTGCTTAGCTGACCAAGAATTGACTTGCAATGTAGTAAACAAAATCATAACCCATCTCCAAGTTTACCAAATTTGGATGTAATTCTAAACCAACCCCAATTTAAAAGCGCTGTTTTGGGTTCCCCGCCAACATTTTGGCGCATCCAGGTGTCCTTAGATTCAGAGAAACTCAGTTTCTCCGGAAAAGTCGGTACACTCAGCACAGTTGGAAAATTGGGAGTCCCCAAATGGTCCACTTTGACCAGGCGAGATGATGATCACTGGGATTTGGGGGTGCCAAATTTTGAGAGTCACCCCATGTGTCACAATGAATCCCACGTCTGGGGAAGTATATCCATGGGCCAACCGGCCGACGGCCCAGCAGTAGCAGGGCATGGCCAGCATGGCCAATGTCCCATGGTTTCCTTGGAGATCCTTGGAGCATCCTTGGAGCATCCAGCATGAAACATGGTTCCTGCGCCGGGGTGATTGACTCCCAGTGGCACATGTGGGATTTACTGTTATGAGGATTTAGGTATTGCGACCATAATCCAATGATAAAAAATCCACTTATAGAGTTTTGATGGCCAGCATTCCCATGTTTGGTATATTCTGATCATGCCTTATTGCCTCATTTTATGTCCCTAAGGCACCACTTTGTTCAATCGGTTCACCTTAAGTCCGATCACTGCGAGGCGGCTGGAAACCACTACGAATTCACCCTGGACTTCTTTGCTCCTTGGCATTTTGAAATCGGACCAGATGACGAGAATGATCTCCAGAGTTCTTTTTTTTCTGTGGTCCGAACTCTTGACCTGGTCAATACTTCCAGATTCGAACGATAAATGGTGGGTTCCTGAAATGGGGATATCCCAATAGCTGGATGATTTATAATGGAAAAGCCTACTAAAATGGATGATTTGGGGGTACCCCCATGACTTGGAAACCCCCAAATCATGACAAATCGCCACATTGGTCAATCCCCCATTCTGAAGGTTGGTCTCGTCTCAGGCTCCCATCGTCAAGGAAGAGTCCAAGTGGAGCCCGAAAAGGCGGAGTCCAGTGCCCCAAAATGCCATGGTAACAATGAAATTTCCCAATTTTTTTACATATTGAAACCACATTTTCGGATGGTAAATCGGCCCATTTTCAGACACACTAATTTAAATCCCGCCAAAGGTTAATCGAGTTCTACTTGAAGAAAGAGTCTGAGGGAACTTGGACCTCTCTCAGCAAGAAGAAACTCCCGTGGGTGAAGGTGTGAACTGGGCAGATGGCAAGGAAGTGCACTTATCAGATATGAAAACGGATACTTCTGATTGGGCGTTGAAGCCAGTCATCCAGTTTGAGTTCCAACTCAATAAGGTATGTTGTAATCCCAACTATGTGAGGTGTACTGCAATCTGACTCAGACTTGCATTTGGTCAGTAACCCTCCAGCGCAGTCCAGATGCAGCCAGCCTTTTTGCTCTTCAATTGTCAGGTGGATTGGAAGAGATGGCAAGACTCGGATGATGAGGAAGAAGGAAAGAACAATCAATGGAATCTGGATGGTGCGCCTGCCTCGGTTGCTAGTCAGGTGAGAAGAAATGCTGGTTGGATCTGGTTGGACTCTCGAACGGGGCCACATCTCTATACGATTCCTCAGAGGTTCCAACCACCCAGTGGTATATCTCAGGTCAGATTTTCCTGTGTTTCCTGTGGGATTTTCGGGTCTGGAGTTTAAGGATATTGCCAGATCCTCTCTCAATCCTTGGGGTTGTTGGACTCAGGTGCCTCTGGAAAACAAAACTGACACCAAAAGCTGTAGCCAGCCCTCAAAACGGACGACCTTTCAGTGGATCAGCGGATGATTTGGGTCCAAGAACTGATTGTGCTATACCAGGATACTGGTACCCCATGACTTGGGACATACCGACATACCGTTACCATACCAAGAAATGATCTCGCGTGGGTATGGGTCAAAGTGAGCCCACATTTTGTCAGGCGAGTCACAGATGGTTGCATCATGCTGGCTCACCAATCAAAGAAAGCCTTGGTTTTTACATGATGTTGCAATCCAAACATGTCAGCTTTTTGCACATCCAAAATGTGCACAGCTTAGCGATTTCCTCATGTTATGATTCGTGACCACCACAGTTTCCATGGAACTCCTTTAGCACTTCCCTCCCTGGTGCAGGTTTGGGTGACATGAACTTTGGTGACATGGGGGGAGGTGAGGAGTACGATTCGGATGACGAGGAGTGCCGCAATTTCATTCATTTACGGGCCTTTATCATAGATCCGATGTAATCCACGTGTACATTCATACTAATTATTGAACACGTCTTTGCAAGAAATTATATATATATATATATTTAAATGTATATGTATGATTATATATATATGCGTGTGTTAAAAAACACAACTATATACACATACAAGGTAAAATTATGGTATAGGTTGTAAAATTCCATCCATATTTTCCCTGACTGCAGTTGCTGTTGCGACAACCATTTAGCATATCCTGAGGCCTGCCCAGCACTTTGTGGCTCAAGGAAAAGACCATGACATGCCATCCATCTCAAGCCAGGCCTCCAATCTTAGCCATTCTCCAGCTTTTGGAAACGCAGAAAAGAACCACTGCTACCACTTTAACTACCAATTCAAAATTCAAACTGGGTCATTTCATCCCCATTCCGACTTCTAGATACAGCAAAATTGAGAGTGGTGTTTCGAACATATCCTTCCATCATCTCCCATCTTTTTCAGTGCCGAAAAACCTTGGGGCCACCTGCCATGCTGTATCCCTGGTTCCTGTTCCCTATGGTCCCCATGGCCCTGGCCCAACACCGCTTGGACGGCACAACGACGACAACGACGCCGCGTCCTGGCGCTGCGGAGGTGTGCTTCGAGGCATGCAAGGCGCAGGGCTTCTGCTGCAACGACTACAACATAGGCAGCAACTTGGTGATCCAATGATTCCAATGAGATCATGTAGAGGATGGGGTTACTCTGCTAGAGATGACTGAAATTCTTGATTTGCATCATCTATTCTGACCGATGTGTTGAAATGTGTTGAATATTGCAATCATGAGAAAGGAGATGCCAAGAAAAACAATATTTGAGGATAGCAAATACTATGGATATAATGGGGTCATCATGCAATTACAACGAGGTTATAGGGTTATACCCCGAATCAGTTTTTTTTGGATTTTCCGAGCAAATGATAGTTTACTGAGAACTGGAATATTCGCCAATAACGCTTGGGGATATAAAAAGGGATGTTAATCATGGATTTGCTGAATTGGTTATAGTTTTAAGTTGCGTTCTGCTCCTGCGTAATATCTTTGCAAGATTCTTTATCTGGTAAAACCCGATGACGACTTTGATTTTTTGAGGTATGGTTTACAATACACCCAAATGGTAGGTAACTTGGGGATCATTTATTCTTGTTTTTGCAACATTTAGAATCAATTTACAGTCAAATACATTAGTACTTGTACACATTATAGTAGTAGATATAGAAAAACGTGATAATAGACAGAAGTATGGGTGCCCTTGAAAGTCGGGTATACACCCAACATAGCCATGAAATAATGGGGAAAAGGAACATGAGTGATAAACGAGTGGATTGAGGATGATTGAGGGTCTTTTCCAGTATTTTCAGACAAAACCCCTGGATCGAAGATCGGCAACGCCGAGGCAACCAATACATCTCCTGTGCACAGGCCTGTATGATGCGTTTTCGTGGGCAAACGGAGGGGGATCTGCAGGAACTATGTCTGGAAAGGACTGGATGTGTGATGACGATCGACAGTTTTGAGTATCTTAAGAGATTTTGAGCGGGTGGTTTCAACGATTTTTCCCCAAACAGTGTGTCCACACTGAGGGGTTCTTACGGTAGGAGTAAAGGCCGGTGCTTGATCAGGGTGCTTTGGGCCGCGGCATTTTTCGTGTAAATTTCCGTATAAAGTGGCTCTTGTGAAATGTTGAAGTGCATTTAGACTGCGCAGGCTCGCACAAAGTGTGGTCCTAGGTTCTGGGCCGCGGCAATTTTTCCTGTACATTTCCATATGAAGTGGCGCGCAGGCTGGCACAAAGTGGTCCTAGGTTCTGGGCCGCGGCATTTTCCCTGTAAATTTGTGTGTAAAGTCGGTCTTATATGACATGTTGACGTGCATTCGATTGTGCAGGCTTGCGCAAAGTGCGTGCCTAGGTTCTGGGCTCGGGCACTTTTCCTGTAAATCTGCTCTTGCGCAGATGTCTTAAAACGTTCTTCTGTCGTGTTGTGTTTCATCCGTTTTCTGTGGTCGTGTTGTTCTCGTCTGGTCCTGTCTTGTAGAGTTTCGCACATCCGCAGCATTCGATGCATCTGTGCATTTCGGCTTCTAGTGTCTTCGAGAAACTGTGTCACGTCGCAACTCTCAATTCAGCATGGGAACCAACTCAACGAATAGCACGCAGATATGCACAGAGTTCTTTGAGAGGTGTCAGTGAACAGGCATACACACTTGCAGCTCTAGTATACGTATCAACGTTATGTTCCGCTGATGTTTGATTCCCCAAACAGCGTGTCCACACTGAGGGCTTCTTACGGTAGGAGTAAAGGCTGGTGCTTGATCAGGGTGCTCTGGGCCGCGGCATTTTTCGTGTAAATTTCCGTATAGAGTGGCTCTTGTGAAATGTTGAAGTGTGCATTTAGACTGCGCAGGCTCGCACAAAGTGTGGTCCTACCGCGGCAATTTTCCAGTACATTTCCATATATAAAGTGGCTCTTCTGAAGTGTTGACGTGTATTTCGACTGCGCAGGCTCGCACAAAGTGTGCACCTAGGTTTTGGGCTCGGGCGTTTTTCCTGTAAATTTCCACATAAAGTGGCTCATGTGACATGTCCAAGTGCATTTCGATTGTGCAGGCTCGCACAAAGTGTGCGCCTAGGTTCTGGGCTCGGGCTCTTGCGCGAGATGTCTTACGTCGTTCTTCTGTCTTGTTGTATTTCATCCGTTTTGTTTGGTCGTGTTTTTCTCCGTCTGGTCCTGTCTTGTAGAGTTTTGCATTTCCGCAGCATTCGATGCAGCTGTGATGTGTGTTTCGGCTTCCAGTGTCTTCGGGCAACTGGGATCGGTCATCCTCCTCAACATCATCATCCTCCACCTCATCATCCTCATCATCCTCAACATCATCTTCATCCTCAACATCATCATCCTCAACATCATCATCCTCAAAATCATCGTCATCCTCAAAATCATCGTCATCCTCAACATCATCCTCAACATCATCCTCAACATCATCACCTTCAATGTCATTGTCCGCAACATTATCCTCCTCCTCCTCCTCGTCGTCGTCGTCGTCATCATCATCATCATCAACAACATTTTAATACATTATCCTCCCACCCCCCCACACTGTTTGGGGCCTCTTGCCCGGATATTTTTTCCAAACTTTGGATGATGATCCCAATTGATTGATCTTTCTCCGTTGAAATCAGAAGCCAGGTATGGTTTCTGTTCCAGCTGTCTGGATCTCACTGACAGCCCGCAGTGTCGCTGGGGCGCGACGGATGCTTCGGCTTGCCAGATGGGTGCAGAGCTCAAGCTGTGCCAGCAGGACTTGGCGGGTCAGGTGGTGACACTGTTCGATGTGTCCCGAAAGGCCTTCCTGGCCATTGGAGACGCTTCCTCCGGCAGCGGCTATGCCGAGATGAAGTGGGTTGATGATTTTTCGGAAGCTGCAGCTCACTGGAGGATGGAGGTGGCAGATCAGAGGGGCTGGATCTTCAGCAGTGTCTATGGGCCAACGAATGCCCCATCTTCCAACTGGCGTTTGAGCGGCTGTGAGATGCTGGACGTGTCCGACTCCGACCAGATCCTGGATACCAATTATTTTCTGCTGGAAACTCCTCTAGGTATTCCTGTTCTCTACCAGGCCCAACCTCCAAGAGCAGACCTCTAGCCTATGCTCTTGAGGTTCCCTAAGGTTGTTTGGGTGTTGTATTTTGGCAGGTTCAGCCATACCGGCAATGAACACATAAGTTTTTGGAACATCAACCCCGACAAAAAAACATGCAAAACAACAAATCTTGGCATCCAATATCATCTAGTTTATCTAGATTGAATTTGGTCTTGCATTGTATCGCCAACCAAAAAAATCTTTCAACAAAAAGATGAATTTCAAGGTTGGCATTGCTGAACACGGTGGACTGAATTTTAGTTTGCTGTGTTTCATCAAGGCAAACACATTTTTCTTTCAAAAAAAATGATTGGATTTTAAGGTTTGGCATCCCTATATGCATGAGGTTTGGCATCCCTATGCAGGCAACATTTCACAAACAAATAACCAAACATTTGAAGGTATGGCACCCCTTTGCAATCAGGGTTGCATTTTGGTGTGCGTTGCCCCATCAAAGAGACATGCTTTCATCCACAAACATGTTGGAATTTAAGGTTTGGCATCCATGTGCAAAACATGCTTGACTGATTGAATTGTGTACTGTTTAGTTCCATCAAAACTATTGGTTTATATGTTTGTTTTGTTCCATGATCAAATGAATCGGAAGCTTAAGGTTTCCCTGCGCACTTGCAAGCAGGATTGCAACTTGTTTATTTGGTCGCATCAAGAAATGGCTGGATTTTCATCAAAACTACTGTTAGGTTTTGAGATTCGGCATCCCTGTGCGATCAGGATTGGGTTTTGGTTTGCTGTGTCCCATCAACAAACATGTAGGTAGTGTTCCAGACAACGATTGAATTTTAAGGTTCGGCATCCCTTTGCAAGCAGGATTGATTTTTGATTTCTTTTGTCGCACCAAGAACATGGCCAAATTTTGATGTTAGATTTGATTTTGAGATTTGGCATCCCTGCAGAATCAGGATTGGATTTTGGTTTGCTGTGTCCCATCACAAACATGTTACGTTTTCCTCCAAAATATTTGATTTTAAGGTTCGACATCCTCATGCAAGCAGGATTGAATTTTAATTCGTTTTGCCGCATCAAAAAAAACCTGGAATTTTCCCAACAACTTATGTTGGTTTATAACCCCCACAACTATGGTTTATGATACTTATAACTGGTTAATGGGGGTTATAAACCAATTTATAGATTTTGAGGTTTGTCATTTTGATGCAGAACAGGGTTGACCTGTGCTGGGCCAGGCTAAACGCAGACCTGGATAAAAACAACTTATGTTGAAGGTTTCTACAAATCATGTTTGTTCACACATACAGACAGTATTCATTCATTCGTTCCTTCGTTCGTTCAGTCATTCATTCGCGCATTCATCCATTCATCCGTTCATTCATTCATTCATTCATTCCTTCATTCCTTCATTCCTTCATTCCTTCATTCCTTCATTCCTTCATTCCTTCATTCCTTCCTTCATTCCTTCATTCCTTCATTCCTTCATTCATTCATTCATTCGTTCATTCATTCCTTCCTTCCTTCCTTCCTTCATTCGTTCGTTCGTTCGTTCATTCATTCATTCATTTCATTTCATTTCATTATCAATTTCATTTCATTTCATTTCATTTTCAATTTCATTTCATTTCATTTTCATTTCATTTTCATTTCGTTTCGTTTCGTTTCATTTCATTTCATTTCATTCATTCATTCGTTCGTTCGTTCGTTCATCCATTCATTCCTTCATTCATTCATTCCTTCCTTCCTTCATTCCTTCATTCCTTCATTCCTTCCTTCCTTCCTTCCTTCCTTCCTTTATTCCTTCATTCGTTCGTTCATTCGTTCTTTTATAGATTGAGTCATTGAGTTTTTGAGGTATCGAGTCATTGAGCCATGGATTCATTGAGTCATTGCTTCAGTGGGTCATGGATTCATTGAGTCATTGCTTCATTGAAGTCATTGATTCGTTGATTCTATGTTTCTCTCATTGATTTTTTGTTTGATTGATTGGTTGATTGATTAATCGGTTGCTTGACTGATTGTTTGATTCATGAACTCATTGGTTCATTGGTTCGTTCATTCATTCTTTGTTCCAATAGTGTGTCTTTATCTATCTGTTCATTCAATCATTCAACCGTTCAATCATTTAATCTTTTATTCTTTCATTCTTTCATTCTTTCTTTCTTTCTTTCTTTCTTTCTTCCCTTTTTGGTATTCATTAACTTGTTGTATTTTTTGCTTAGTGATATTATTCGTTTGTTTTTGTTGTTTATATCATTTTAAATCAATATTTCTTTTTTTTTTTTTGAATATTTATTTTCGATCTATTTCTTCGTTTCTTTCTTCCCCATTTGCCAGGTGCGGGTCTCTAGATTTTTTACAAAACACCGCGCCAGGTACACACAGGCACAGGTGCAGGTACGCCCTAGAATGTTGGATAAAGTGTCGAATAGGACTGCCAGATAGACGGTGAGAAAAACAACTAAATGCCAAGTAAACGTTAAGATGTATGTCGGAGCAAATGCCGCATAGAATGCCAAACAAAATGTCCGATAGAATTCCAGATCACATGCCAGAAAGAATGTCAGATGAAACGTCAGATAGAATGCCAGATAGGATGCCAGATAGGATGCCAGATAGAACTTCGCAATATATGGTAGATAGGATGCCAGTGATCATGGGCTGGATAGACTGTCAGATCGAATGCGAAATAGGATGTCACAACATATGTCAGATAAAATGCCAAATAGAGTGTCAGAATATGTCTCAGATAAATTGTTTGATTGCCAGATAAAATGCCTTTTTAGAGAAAGTATCAGATGGACTGTGAGAATATTTATGTCAGAATACATGTCAGATAAAATGCCAGGATATATGCCACGGTCGGGATCACATGAAGTAGAGTAACTTAATTTTCTTCTTTGGTATGGTTTTCACTTTCTTCTTACGTTTTGATTTGGGATTATTGTATTTTATTTTTCCTGAACATTTAGTAATACCATATATGCATACACATCTTTTCTTTCATACCTGCATATGCACATACACGTACTCATGCACAAACACACCTACATATGTTTCCAAAACGCATTCTCTTTCATATGAGTAAACGAGAAAATTATTGTCATACTAATTTAGTCGTGCTTCGCCTTGACCTTTCTGAGGCTGCACAAAACCTTCGTGATACCTGCGGGAGTACTGAAGTCCTCACAACCGATAGGGGATGACCCTAATTTGTGCATGGCCTTAAACTTAGCAGTAGCACATAACTTTGTCCGCTACTCATATATATATACATACATATATATATATACATATATTTTTATATTTGCAACATACCACATATCATGGTCCTGAATTCTTGATGTTTTGTGTTTGTGCTGAGATGAAGATATCAACTTATGCCAGAATTGCTAGTTCAATTCCCTCAGTTGTGAACATGGCCCATGTGTTTGCACTTGATTGTTCTGACTACCTAGCATCAGTTTTAGTAGCACGTGATGAATGGCCTTACCAGCAGAAACACAGAGTCGGCACCGGGTTGCGTGATTACACATCCATCATGCTCATACTGGGGTTCATTTCATATTTCCAATGGGTCGGTGATCTGGCAAACAGTCTAGAATTTGCTACTGATGCGAATATCGAATATATTATGTAAATTCATGGTTTACTTATCAACATCAAACAACCCAATCCTAGCAGCTTACCATATGGACACATCAAAACATCATATGTCCAGTGAACCTGTTTGTAGTAAGTGCTTCATGTTACTATATGTTTGTGTCTTTCCCAATTTGTTAGCCCCTACTGGCCTCGCAGTTTCTACCAGTTTAAACCGATGGCAGTCTTGATTCCAAGACAACCTAGAACATAGGCCAAACTCTAGGCACCTCTTGGTATATTTGTTGGGGGTCCCTGATTAGATTGATGGGGACAGGCCTCTTCCTCTGGAGTCTTCGTTATCAGAGGTTATCATTGCGATCTTTCAGAACGGAGATTGATCATCGAAGCTTATCCACGGAACTTTAGCTTGTGCCCCGAAGCAGAGTGGGCAAATTCAATCTCCACATCCCTTCGGAACAACGTCCTCAGCGGTTTTTTGCTGGTGCTGCTGGCCTTTGGAGGCCAAGTTCCATGACTTTCTTGGGGGCCCGTAGCCGAAACAACACGAATCTTCAACGGCAGCAAGCAGACGGAAGGCATTTCGAGGAAGAGGCATGTTGCGACCCTGGAGGAACTGATGAGCGTTGCAGAGCTAAGAGAGTTGTGGGATATGGGCAGCTTAGTTGTCGTTTCACATGGTCGTGATGGTTCAAGACCATTTGGCCCCCTTCGCGACTCATTTGAACAACAGCTGAGTCTCAAAGAAAAATACCCTCTGGTAAACTAACATAGCTATGGAAAATCACAATTTTTAATGGGAAAATCAACTATAAATGGTCATGTTCAATAGCTATGTTAGTTTACCAGAGAGTAAGCCTCAGCGACATGAGCAGCTTCAAACACATGGCCAGCCGTGTATGGGCAAAGTCCTTGAAAATCCCCAACAGACAATCCCATTATCCAAGCCTATCCTAGCGAGCTTCAATTGGATGTACAAGATGGCCCTCATTTGAAAGCTGTTACTTGTTTGAGATGATTGGGGTACCCCAGAATGTGATGGTTTCTGGTTGGTGGTTTGGAACATGAAATTTATGACTTTCCATATATTGAGAATAATCATCCCAACTGATGAAGTCATATTTTTCAGAGGGGTAGGTCAACCACCAACCAGGTTTATAGATGATTTACCCACTTCACTAACCATCATTAACCACCATTAACCATCATGTAACCCATCATTAACCATCATGTAACCCATCATTAACCATCATGTAACCATCATTAACCATCATGTAACCATCATTAACCACCATGTAACCATCATTAACCATCATGTAACCATCATTAACCATCATGTAACCATCATTAACCATCATGAAACCATCATTAACCATCATGTAACCATCATTAACCATCATGTAACCATCATTAACCATCATGTAACCATCATTAACCATCATGTAACCATCATTAACCATCATGTAACCATCATTAACCATCATGTAACCATCATTAACCATCATGTAACCATCATTAACCATCATGTAACCATCATTAACCATCATGTAACCATCATTAACCATCATGTAACCATCATTAACCATCATGAAACCATCATTAACCATCATGTAACCATCATTAACCATCATGTAACCATCATTAACCATCATGTAACCATCATTAACCATCATGTAACCATCATTAACCATCATGAAACCATCATTAACCATCATGAAACCATCATTAACCATCATGTAACCATCATTAACCATCATGTAACCATCATTAACCATCATGTAACCATCATGAACCATCATGTAACCATCATTAACCATCATGAAACCATCATTGACCATCATGTAACCCAAAATGTCATGGTTTACTGTACAACAACCGGTACAACCATCCCCAACGCGGCCAGTCCCTAGGAGCTTCCAGATCTGGATCCTGCAGAGCCATTGGTGCGATTTGGGGCTGTTGGAGACGGTCTCGGGGTGTTATTTTAACGAGGAAAACCGGGGATTCAACCTCCAAAAAAGGTGGCTTGAACCAAAAAATGGCAGGGATCTATTTTGACATATTTTGACAAGTTTCCGGGATTAAACTGGGAACTAACTTCACTTTTTGATGCTGAAATAGGCAAAAAATGGCTGATCTCCCCCAAATTGCTGATGGTTTTAGAGGAAACATATTGGGAATCTAGCAGATTTGGGAACCGTCAATGTTGGTCAGTTCTGAAATTACTGACTGGAAATTGGGGTTTGAGTAGCAATTTCACTTAGCAGATTCCTTTAGATATGGTTTCACTCCACGCTTTCCACAAGTGGAGGTTTCCAAGTCATGGGGGTACACCCAAATCATCCAAGCCATTAGACCAATTTAGTATTGAAACCAATGGTTTTGGGATCCCCAATTTGAAGAACCCCCCAAGTGATATCTTATTCTGATTTAAAGCTCCACTCTCCCGGACATCTCCCAATCTGGATGCGCGGAGCAGGCGAGCAGCTACTTCTAGCTACATTGTAGGCCACAATTTACAAGATCATCATTCACCTATGAATGTGACCATATTTATATTTTTATATAATATAAGTGACTTGGACATCCACTAGCAAAGTTTATATATATACATGTACAATTATGTCAACATTCAAACAAATGTGTACATGCCTAGGTGTCTTAAAAAAACTTTTCACGAGAACAGTGTGATCCGCACATGACTCTTAAGCCGTCCAGGGCAGCGCGGACGTGCCACCAGAGGCGATGGTTTGACATGGGATATCTGAGGAACCGATGAACCGACAACCGGGATATCTTACCGACGTGGATAATCTGAGGATAATCTGTGTTAAGGAGCCCATGAAACAAGTATCGGATGGGTTTCGTAGATTTCTGGTTGGAAAACCTCCGCAAGTTAGTTACCTGGCTGGAAACTTCCTCTTTCCAGGGGAACATCATGAACATGAATGGTTATTTCTGGGAGGATTTTTCGGGGCGCCAGTTTCGATTACAATTACAATACGGTGTGGGATATTGATATATGGTATCTGTTTATTTTTGATGGAATAGATGCACATGTCATGTGGGCTTAGTATGCATTTCCGAAAGATTGGGATTCATGCTGCAAAACAAGTTCGCGGTACGGCCAACAAATACCCCTCGCAGTTTTTCCAGCGAAGGTGGGATGCTTTAACCAACTCAAAGAAGTGGAACCAGGAAACAGAGCACTCTCAGGTTTGAAACAAACATTCAACCTTCCAAAACAGGTAGATAAGAGGTGCAACCAATGGGCATAGGCCCAGATTTTCCATCGTTTTGGGAAGGGTGGTCAGTCTGGGTTATATAATTTATATAATTCTAGCGACCCAACTAACGCCACCATAGATTCGGATAGTTAGGGAGGACATCTTTTCAAAACAATCTGAATTCATTACAGGTTGATGAATTATTTCAGCCAGTAACGAGTCGCAGGTTTCGTGCATCGTACCTGCCATCCCTTTGCTGATAACTCCGTGGCAGGAAGCGAGAAAGGAGAAAGTGGACACAGACTCGCTGGACTGATCCAGGGTTGAGCTGCGACAAGTGATCCAAGCCGATCATGGCAAATCTCTGTTGCAACTTGACTGAACCATACTGAACCCAACAGATGGAGGGATTTGACCTCGTCTCTGCAGCTCCCTGCCTATTTGGACTCGAACAGATTTGAAGACCTTTTATCTCCAATAACTTGCAACAAAACATCATGACCCTCTTCTGATGTTCAAGGCGTTCGAAAATGGAAGATCTACTCTACTATACCGGTCCAATACTATACCGGTCCAACGATTCTTTGGCAAACCTTCTGGATTATGTATATATACTATATATATACATATTATAAATAACATATAGTAGACAGAATGCATATACAAAGGATTACAAAGGTATCTTATACATAGACATAGAAGGCATTTCCTCTTTTGGTGTTTGCTGGCACCCCTCCAGTTTGACATCGACCCGGTAGACATTGGGATCAACCGGATGGATGGCCATGAGTGGTAGATTTATGTGACTTTACTCAGTAAATTTTGGGGTATCAACATGTATCAACTATAAAAGCGACCATACCGGGGATATTCCGAATGTACTGGGTTAACTCCCCCAAGCTCGATAAGAGTGTACGGACAGGGCCTATGAACCACCACGGATATAAGAGGGCACTTTTCTTTACAATTGATATTGGGATTATTGGGGAGAGTCACTGAAATGGGCCCGTTGCATAATGTCCCCATGATGAATATCCTCTATTTCCAGTAGATGTAGTGCTGAGGCAGCTGGGTTTCAGGCGGTTCTGGATGACTTTGGTTCAGAGAGCTGCAATGTTTGAGACACTGGTCTCCTCTGTTGGCGCCAATGATGGGTGATGGGTGTAAACCTGTGATCTCAACCGTAGATCATAGGAATGTTGAAAACGTGCTGTCCCGTGACGAGACAAAACAAAACTGGGCTTGAGGGTGTTTAACAGGGAAGCCTCCACTGACCATTAGACATACCCTCTGGTAAACTAACCTAGCTATTGAAAATGGCCATAGAAATAGTGGATTTTCCCATTAAACATGGTGATTTTCCATAGTTATGTTAGTTTACCAGAGGGTAGACATTGATTGGGAGGCCACGATGTCTATGTATTTTGTGGAACCTAAATATCTCCCTGAGCTCCCTGTGAGGGGATCATTATACAAAGTGTCCTAATGTAAACCCATATGGCTATGGATCAATACCTATGAAAATACCATTTTTACTGGGATGAACATCCATAAATCCCAGCTATTTTGATGTGAACAGAAGGGGTACAAGGTTTTGACACACTGCCATATTGCCATAAATATGTATTTAGATATAGATATGCGATGCAGTGCGAACATCGGAATCATATCTGCCTGGGCTGATGAACTTCCATGTCTGCCAGTTTTTTTTGGGTTGAAGCACGATTTGAAGAACCCTATTGGAACTCTCCAATTTCTATACGCAAACCAGGTACAATGCTTCATTTCCACTTCAAACATACCTGGAAAGTCATCAATTTCATAGCCGCAATTTCCGGTTCCTCAATAACACAAAGGCAACGACATGTTTTGAAGTGGAAGAGCTAGTTTGGAGACTTGTGCCAACCCTCTCGTCGCCCCTTGGTTTGTCGGGCAGCTAGGAGCAATGTGCAGAGGAGTCTAGAGGAGCCCTTTACAGTGGGATCATAACGCGCACACGAATGCGCCATTAAACATACCATTGTTGATTGGTTGTTGTGGGGGTTGTACGATTATGATAACCCATGATTGGGATACCTATTAGCCAAGCGGTATCATGGAATGGGATAGGAAGTATTTTTCATGGGGTATAGGGTAGATGCATATGAATATGATATTGTGATACATAAATCTTACATATAGGCGCACCGCGCACGGTGCACGGGTCAAGATGCAGTTTTAAGCGCGTGCATACATGATGCATACCTGCAGATATCTTAACGTAAACATAGATGTCTCGAACTTGTTGACTGTCTCGAAGTCGTAGCTCTGCACCTTTGAATCGCTCCAGACAGATCTTGCCAATGCGTCACCAGTGATTGGTTGCAGTTAGTGCAGCCACCGTTGCGGCTTGAGCCCTGGCGGGAAATGCGGCACCTAATTGTGAAGCCAATAATATGGTTAAAACATGTTAAAACAATCATAAAATTCCCATTTGGGAATGGTTTGTAGCACCTATTTATCCACATTCATACGTTTTCACGGATGTTTGGATATCCTTTTCCTTCTGGTTGACCAACAGAGGTGTAACCCCAAGAAAGACAACCAACAGACGACGATTTCGGATCTTTGCAGATCAACTCCCAGAAATCATGGGAAGATTGGAACCAGATCCGAGACGTTTCAGGGTTCTCAAAACCCACAAAACACACTCGACGGGTTTCAGTCGATTTTCCTTATCAATCCATCAATCCATCATCCGAAACACCTCCTACAGGGCCCAGCTGGGGTTTCGGCCTAGGGCTCGCCCAAGGGCCCAGGCCAGTGAGGAAATACCAACAGAGACTCCTCCGGTGCACGACGAGACCGGAAAATGACCGACTGGGGGGCCTTGCCTGACCGGTTTTGGATGGGGAACAAGGGAAAGCACCTCATAGGTTTATAGAATTTTAAGGTGGACATGAAACATACATTTAACAAAAATGTAAGAATACATGATTCCATATGATTCCCACATTTTTAGGGAAACCACTGAACCCACCTCAGGCCCTATGTTTTTCTTGTTTTGGCGCATTAGATGAGCATTTGGGTATGGGAATAATATATGGGTCAGCAGTTGGCCAACATGTCTGATTTAGGATATTACATGATTATCGGCCCAGTAGATGTGGTTGTACTTCTTTCGTTGTGGGTCTGGGGTCACCAAAACCGAAAAAATGTCGGGTGTAGAAGGAGGAAGGTCAACGGTCACCTGTTGCTGAAAACTCTTTGAGTTGCTGAAAACTCAGGGGTTTCTTGGAGGTTCAAGGAGTTGCTCAGCCACTAGGGGTTTCAGTGCTCTCCAGACATCTCCAGAGCCCCAAGATCTTCTGGGACTTGGACCCATTGGAGGTTCAAGGAGTTGAAACCAGGCCACTTCCAGGCCACCAAAAATCTCCAAGAGCCGAACCTGGAAGGCATCAGGGATCTTCATCGATCACTCAAGGGACCATTTTTTGGGTGATGACCATGGGTCGATGGAGATGTTCCATGACTTTGAAAATGGGTCCTGCTGGACTATTCCACATTTTGAAAAGGCCTAGCTTTCAAAAAAACACAACTTTCACCCATTGGACGCATCCGCAGCTGTTTTGGATCGTTCGGTAGTCACGGGAACGTCGCGATGTCGGGCTTTGATTATTCCAAGTGGGATCGGTTGGAGATCAGTGATGATGAGAGCACGTCTCCAGCTTGCAATTGCCAGTCATTCGTTGGTTTTCCAGGAGCCCTGAAATCTGGGAAGTTCGAGCCATAGAATTGATGTTGATGCAGGTGAAGATGTGATCAAAACAGGTCTGGCTTCCACATGCCCACAGTCAAAAGCATCTTAAGCTCTGCCAGTTCTGCATCCCTAGGATTTTTATCCGTGGCAAACTCCTTTGGGGCACAAGTGAGGCCAAAAAGGCTGCGAAAAGAATGGCCAAAATCTGTCTGGTTGGCAGTTGAAGAACTCTTATCTAAAATAAAGCTATCTTCAACCCCAGTGACAATGATCTGTGACACCAGAGTCGCGGAGTTCCCAGATTTCCCAGGTTCCATCCGAACTTGGACACCGGCCTCAACATCCGCGTGAACAGAATAACCCGAGACCGCAAAGAAGAGGAATTTGGGCTGGGGGCTGGGACCATTTGTTGCTCTCTTGTCTCAGTGGGAGACTTGAGGTTTCGCAGTGTTGCAGGCTCGCTTCACGTTTGTTTGAAGGATTTTAAGGGTTGGTACATGTTGGCAGTCAAACAAAAAGATGGGACAACATGGGTGGAATCAACAACCAAGGAATTTTCTAGCAACCATGAAGGATTGAACTCCCGAAACGAAGATTCAAACCAACACCGGGACGACTCTAGCATCTAGTAAACATAGGGGGTATCACCAACAGCAGATGGGGATGTCACCACCAGCTGCAAAAAAACGCAGATATATAATACCAACAACGAACTGGTTGGTGGTTTGGAACATTTTTCATTTTTCCATATATTGGGAATAATGATCCCAACTGACTTTCATATTTTTCAGAGGGGTCGAAAGCACAAACCAGCAAAGGAGGTTTCACCACTAAGCAAAGTGATTTGCAGCCAAAAACAGAGGGATGTTTTTGGGTGTACGGCAGCTTGCCCAGGCTAAAAGATAAGTATTTTTGCCCACTCCGTCTAGATGCAGATGAATGGAATATCCTTTTTCCAATTTTCTTGGCAAAGCTTCCAATCGAGAAGATGCTGACTCTTTGCGGCCAGCAACTGGCAGGAGATTGATAGCGAAAAGAAGAAGCTCATTGAAAAAGGGGAACAGGAGAAGGCCAGACCATTGACAGGTTTTTTTTGGGTGCTTTCCTGACATGTCACACCATCGGCTAAATTGCAAAGTGGTAGTGACTGTAGTGAAGGGAAAACACCATAGTTATCCATCAACAGCTATTTGAGCCAAGTTGCCCTCTGTTTCACCACCCTTGATGTTGCATCTCTTGCTACACATATTGACTGCTTCTGCCAACCATGGGCTCCAGCGGTGACATTTTCCACCAAGCAGCTGGGGTTTGTGGCGGGAGATTCATCCTTTCTCTCCCCACACCTGAGTGTTGCCATGACATCTTTGCCGTCCATCTGGAAGATGATTGGGGAGACCTATGAAATCATTGTGAAGGCGGCGTCCTTGAAAAAGGTGAAAGACGCACTTGTGCTACAGGACGATTGGTGCATCTCCTTGGGTGATGATGCTATTCAGATGTTGAACAGCGATGGCAAGAGCAAAGGAAAGAAAAGCCACGAGGTGTCTCCGGAGGACAGAGTTGGATGAGTTGGATGAGTTGGATGAGTTGGATGAGTGTGCTACTATTTTGTGAGTAGATTGTTTGCCTGTGAACGTATTCCATTGAACAGTCTTTTTTTAGTGAAGGGTTGCCAACAGGCAATCTGATGCAGCATTTGCCAAGGTTCCCCTGAATCGTTATTTGAGCACGGTCATGAGTCATGGGTGGTTTGTTGATTTTGTTTGCGTAAAATATGCGTAATGAAACAACTATCCGCCCATGGCCACCAGGATCGACTCCTCCAAATCATTGATGGCAAAAAGTGCGCTTGTGAGCCAACAGAGATGCTCAAGCTGCTGTCTACATGTCATGAGGTGGGTGGACGGGGGCATCTCACCCAAAACTTTGGCTGCTGGGAGAGTATGTGTCATTTTTTGGGATCATTGATCGCAATTTTTCCTTTTTGGAGTAGCTACAGATTCACTGGTATCCATGTTGAAATTCACCAGGCTTGAGTCCAAATTTCTGACCCCCTGAAGCCAAATTCACCAGGGCATTCGGAGCATCTCAAGCCAGGTCGGTGCTGAGCTTACGCTCGAACTGGGGCGACCAACATCAGAGGTGAAATCTTTGGCTCAGCTAAAGCCTCCCTTTGGGCAGAAGCCACCGTCAAGACAGAACTCAATCTTCTTCCTTCTTCGCAGCAGCACGGATTTGAGCTTCATCAAGAGTGTGAATGGCTATGGCCCAAACAAACTTCAAGTTTGGAGTTCATCTGGAAGTGTCGTTGGGAGGCTCAAGAAGGCCTTTGAACATTACGAGCACGTCTTTGCTTTGCAATGTACCAAGGATGCATGTGGGGTCTCCTCCGCGTTGCATCCCCTCCTGATGAGGAGCTCTATGGAAGTGTTTCATTTTGGGCTGCGGATTTAAGCGATTTGGAGAAGTGGTCATGGCTAGCAACCAACTTCCGCGTGCAGTGGTTGTGTGAGTGCGAGATTCCGGTTGATGACCTCCCAGAATTTCGTGACGGCATTCGCAACTCAATTGTTTTTGACTATGGACCAAAGGACGGAGATTGCTTGGGCGATTTCAGAGGCAAGGTCAAGAAGGACGAGGAAGGCTGGGAGGCTTGTTGGAAAGTCGCCAATGCTTTGCTGAAAAGTCCAACCAGCCCACATGGGACGAAGGTGGCGAAACAGACAACGCCATCACCAAGCACCCAGGCATACGATGAACATGTAGCTCGTCCTATGGGTGCAGCCTACTGTAGAAACTGGATGGTGGTTTTGCATATGTTCTACTTTCCCTTCCCGATGTCCTGATGTGTTGTTTTTTTCACATGTTTTAAGTGTCACCCTTTTGAGAGTGAAGCTTCCCGACTTGACCACCATGATTTTTTTCTATTTTCGAAGCCCCGGAAAGATGGGAAAAGAAAGGCCCTTGTGTGCTGCTTGGACAACCAGCCAGGACAGAACCTGACTGCTAAGCAGACCAAAAAGACACCGGAGCCAAGGGCAGAAACTGGTCGGCGGTTTCCAATACCTTTTTTTTTTCTCGCTTCCTTCGGACCAATGCCCTCCAATGGACTCCCAGTTTTGACCTGGCTATGGCTCAACCAGAAGCAATGATGATGGGTGGTTAGACTTCCCACTGTATAGGTTGCTATTGGTTTCTATGCACATTGCACATTCTTCCTATGATTCATTGTACCCTTCCGGATGATGCCGAGGAAGTCAGGACTGTGGAGAACCACGCCAGTTCTGGACAATGTGGAGCCGCAGCCTTGACAGTTCACTGAGCGGCAGCGTTCTTTTTAAATTTGCAATGTGCAGTCATCATCCCTTCTCCCTAATACCCCCAGTAAAGGACACCAAAGATTTTTTTGCAGATCCAATACGAACATTCCGGGCATTTCACTGGGAAGGGATTCGCGTTGGACGATGCCACTGGCCACTGGCCACCTGCTGCCAGATCACTGCTGATTTATCATGATCCATCATCATTCTACCTATAGCTGCCATTTTTTGGGGTATAATCGGTATAACCATTATTTCATTTTTTAGACAGACCCACCTCTTGTTGATACGCCGGAGAACAGGGCTTCTGTCACCTGCCGCATGGACATTTCGACCGGTCAGTCAAATGCGCTTGCCACCGCGGCCGACCGGCCGTGATTTCCGCTCAAAAAAGGATACTTGATTATACTTTATTGGTGCATATTGGTGCAATCCCTAGTGATTGTTGCAGTAGCTATATCATGCTATATCCCTGTCATTTGTGGCTCTATCCAAGACTTTGTTACTTACATAGATTCCCAATCATTTACAGTATATATCGTATTTTATTATTATTGGTTAGAATCCTCGTTTGGTGGTTGTCGGTCAAACATTCTAGTGTTTTGGTGAACCTTCTTCCATTTGTTGTTGTTCAAACCCCATTGTTTGTTGGTGGTATTTCCATTGGCTACGCCTGCAATGCTTTGTTGCGTCAATCGTCACTTTTTGCGCGTTAAAGTCACATGTGTGGTAGTTAGAGTATATCACACCACCATCATTGATATCCCTCTATATCATCCTACCTACCCCAAAAAATCGCTGGTGTTTTTCCAAATGCTCCGTGATCGGTGATTTCCCCAGCACTTTGGCTAATGTCTGGATATTTCCCTGTGGTTTGCTGGGTAATCTCCCCCTTGCATCCCGATTTGTACTTGCATTTTCCCAATAGTTTTGTTGTAGTAACATGTAGTAACCCCCTTGTTGTAGTAACCCCCCAAAAGATAGACATGTTATTCACCACAGTTTCAGTAGCTTTCTACTTTTCTATCATTTTGGGGATTGCTATATCTTCCCATACCGTTTGGTGATTTCCCACCGCGGAATCATTGTCACTATCCCCAAAAAGGCCGAAAAGCTCGAAGCCAAGCGTCCCTTACACGTGAACAACGTGTGCCACGTGGCTGAGGCCGAGATGAACGGCTTTCTTCCAGGATTATTTGTAGATATTTAGAGGCTTAACGGCTTAACTGTAGATATTCCAGGTTTCTAGGTATTCTATTCATTCCTGGGGCTATAGCTATGATAATGATAATGACACTAGAAATATCATGACATATCTAGAAATAGTGATGGTGACAATGATCCTGATAGTAATAATCATGATAATCATACTGTAATCGTAGTGTTCTTTTCCTCGTTGAGTCGACAGGGTACAAATTGGGTGCTGAGATGAGGGCACCACAGCATGCCTGGGATTGATACATACCACCTAAAGGTCAAAGTTTGAGTTTGAGCAGAACTCTAAGCACAGATTTGTGTTCTTGTCTTAGGGTATCACCTATATTCATTTTGCCTACCTACCTACCTTCCTCCCTACTTCCCTACCTCCCGTCCTCCCTACCTCCCTACCTCCCTACCTCCCTCCCTCCCTCCCTACGTACCTACCTACCGGCCGACCTACCTGCATACCTGGTACATACCTACGTACCTGCAAACCCGCATGCGCACATACCTGGCCCCTGCAGGAGCGCACCATCATCCAGTCCAGCGACGGCAGTCGGAAGGACAAGTTGAAGAAGGGTGAAGAGTCCTTCAGCGTGGACGACTACAGCCTGTTTAAACAAGACAACAAGCTGCTGGGCTCCGAAAGTTGAGATGTAGGTGTTAAAAAATCCAATTAGGGGTACCCCCGAGATCTATTTGGACATTGATTTTCCATGATTTTCCCCTATGTTTCTCCTAGGAAGGGTTTCAAAAATTTCTACCCCAAAGCCATGTCCTTCAGCAAAAGTTGGGAGAGTCGACTACCAGCTGGCCATGGCTCCCGGTAGGGCCATCCTCGACAAGTTTGCCAATGCGGATTGGGAACTGTCGGAAGCCTTGTGCAAAGAGTGCCCCAGGGAAGCCATGGGTGGCAAGGAAATGGCCTGATGTCGAATGTGTCATGTTGGCTTCTGGAGGCATACAGTCAAGTATCTTTTCTCTTGGCCATAGGCTGTACGCATCCCTATGGGTAAATCTGATTCTTATTGAGTATCGACTCCATTTTTTTTCATTGGCTAGGAAGCCATTCATGGATTTCTAATAGACCATATAGACCCAGTTCTTGAGCATGTTTGGGCTATATGCACTGTTTCTATTGCTTGCATTTCGCCATTGCAACCAAAACGTTGCCTCGTACAACCGAAATCTAGACAAAACGGGGAAACGTAGGTTTGGGCAGTGGTTCCATTCCATTTTTCACATATTTTCACAATTAATTTAGAACCATCCTTTTGGTTCTTCCCCGGCTATTTCTTTCCATCTCCAAAGCTTGGAAGCGCGGGGGGGTGGCTGCAGCACCTGTTTCGCCACAGCCCACAGGTGCAGCAGATTTTGAGCAACTGCAGATGGACAGATCATGGCAAACCATGGCAGATCCTGATACCATCGTTCTGTTTTTTGGGTGGTTTGAGGATGGCTGGAGCATGGCCAGGTTTCATCATGGGCATCACGTGGAGCGAAGGTGCTGAGAGGCCCAGTTCGTGCCCAGTTGATCCTTATTGGTCTTGCCCGTGTTTTTGTTGAAATACCATGAAATACCAGTCTTTATTGGGGTTATCATCGTGTTTGACATTTCTTGTGGCAAGTCGCAGGTTTTTCGGACCCGATTATTTGTGTAGTCCATGTATTTACCATGTATTTGCCCATGTATTTGCCCATGTATTTGCCCATGTATTCATAGTATATATATATAGTGTTTTTCATTTTCTTGATTTTGTCGCTCTATGTGTATTTGTCAAAATTTCCGGCCCCAAATTGGAGGGTTTAACACCAGCCCATTGGTACCCCATTTCTGACCCATGCCGTGGGCAGGTGTCTCTCTGCCGCTGCAGCGGGAGACACCAAGGACGCAATCTGTTGGTCGTTGAGGTTTCTACTGGGAAACACAGGGGTCTGAACATAGGATATCGGTATACCATGGTATACCCCACTTTTTATGGAGATCATGATGATAAACCAGGAGAGCTGGGAATACAATTTTTCAGACACACCAATATATTATTGGGCCAATGCTTTTCACCTTTCGCATTTCACTGAGTTTCAATCATTTTCTGCTTCAAATTTCTCTAGCCTGGCCTGACGTGATTGTTTTTTTCTCTAAGTGCTCCAAATGGAGCTCTTGGGTCAGTTTTGAGACCTTTTTCTCTTGGTATCTTCCTTTGCATAGGCCTTGCGGAGGGTAGATCCCTCCAGTTTCGAAATCTGGCCGTAATTGGATTCCACTTAGTAATCGGATACTATTTATCGTATTTATAGATGAGCAGGGACCAAAACTCTGGTAAAGGGCCTGGTATATTGCGGCTTACGGGACTCCCTCTGAACAAGCAGGTTTTCGAGCACTGCTCAGCTAGGATTAGCCCAATTATATTCCATTTATTTGTTCCAGCATTCTCCATTAATGCTTGGTTGACCCCATCTACCCTCCGATGATTTAACATAGCACTGGAACATCTCCATTCTTAAACTCAATGGGCATGGCTTCCATGTTAAAAAAAAAAATATTGGAGGGTACCCCATCCAATATCCCATGAACAATCCATTAAAAACATTTTTCCATGGTCAATTCACATTTTTTTCCACCCTTTTCCCCAGCATGTTTTCAGGGAGCTCCTAGGTCCTAGACCTTGCTACAGAGTCACCAGAAGCCGTTGGTCAGTTCATGCCAGATCAGACCAGTTAATGGTGATACGATGTCGATCAGCTCGTGATGATCACTGGCTCGTTTGTTCGACATCTGCAGCAGCGTTGATGGACCCAACCAGCGACACTGTAGACTGTGAGTGTCAAGCGAGAACGAGAGCCGAGCCAGACTGCAAAGCGAGAGCCTGCTGCTGCGGAGCCAGAACCTGTCCATAGTGCGACCGGCAAAAAAAAACTGTTCAGTCTCACCAACGTAGCGGTCGCCAAAAAACCTGTTCAGTCTCACCAACGCAGCGCAGGGTTCAGCCCAGGACCCCAAAACTTCGAAAGATATGGATAGGACATTATATATATATACATACATGTGTATGGTAGAGCTTCGCACACCGGCGATGCCATAAGGGTTATGTGTTGTTGTTGTTGTTGTTGTTGTTGTTGTTGTTGTTGTTGTTGTTGTTGTTGTTGTTGTTGTTGTTGGCACGAGGAGCTCCTAGACCTCCTGCGCTCAAAAGCGGTGGACTTCAATGTCCCAGATAGCTGGGGAACCCAGGGTTTTTACCTCGCGAAATAGGCCACGCTGGTGGGTTCAAAGTTTATTTCCGGTGCTTTTGAAGAAAAACACATTGGGATGATGATGGTGGTGGTGGTGATGATGCTGATGATGATGATGATGATGATGGTCCCAAGTGCCGGACAGTGTTGGAACAGGCTGAAACCTTCAACTAGATAGTTTTGGTAGCTTAGTACCTGGTTATCGCTGAAGTGTTGAGATCGCCAGCTTAAACAACAACATTCGAACTGGATACATTAACCATGCAGCGGGGAAGTTTTTCAAAAACTCAATATATTACTTGGATGTTACTGTGTCCAACGGTCGCCATACACCGACTGACTCATGACTGTCCATTCCGTGTTTCTGCCAGGAAGTAGATGGAGAACTTGCGGAAAGGAATCCCATCGGGGACAGCCTGAAAAAATGTCGACTCTCAAGAAAATTGGTTCAATCCCAACAACCAGCCATTTTTGAATGGTTCACGTGTGAAAAAGGGATGAATTCCCCTGGGAAATGCAAAACTTTCCAAGAAAATTGGCTCCAACTGGCTCCATCACCAGCCATTTCTTGGGCGTTTCACCACACTAGGCCGCGGCAAAACTGCGATCATGGAAGCTGCAGACAGGGGCCACGAGGTCGAGTGCCGAAGCGAAGAGAGCAGCTACCTGATGGGGGATGATTGCAATACATAGAATTAACCGGTAATTTCACTAACCGGTAATTTCATGGGATGATTGGGATGCGATAGGCGTATTTTTCATGGTTCAATGAATCATTTTTAGGATGAAACCGTGTGTGGGAGTTCATAATTTGTGACGGAATTTTAGGAATGTCGTGAGTGAAAATCCTTTTCACATTGGGGGATTCCAATAGTCACTGGTAAACAGGCAAAATGGGCTGATTCTCACTGGGTATTTGTGACTTCCCTCAAAGTTCACTGGAACACTGGCAAGTATTCAAACATCGTCATAACGTAGAAGTGATTTGACTCAGTCATAAGTAGAACTTAATCCGTATTCTTATGGTTTAACCCAGTTACAAGTCTGACAGTCGAACTCAATTAAGATGGTAAAATATGTATATATACATATATATATATAACATTATATAACCTCACTGAAGTGGCTTAAGGCCCCACTCAACCCTTGATGACTGGTCCAGGAGTGCTTGTTGCAGTTGATTCTCCACGGGGCGGATTTGAACCACCGAGACAACCGTGGCTGGAGCGTTGGGAACCTCGGTTCTTGGAGGTGCCCTACGTCTTTCTGATATTTCAGTCAGTTGATAGAATTCCAGATTCGTTGATTTTCAGTCAGTTGGCAGTTGGTCTTAGATTTTTGATGATTTATGATGATTTCTGGTACTGTAGTTTGTTGGTCTCTTGGCCTATGATACCTGGGATACATACGAACAGGATGTGCACGGCTGGTTTCATCAGGAAGCCAGGGTGAAGTGGTTTGATACAAGAATTGAAGCCCACGAAAGCCCTCTGAAAGCACCAGGACCGGCAGTGAAACATGTTAAAACCCCATTGAACCCCAAAATCAATGCATTAACACCATTTTAAACCCCAATCTTCAAGCACATAAAAACTCCCTCAAACCCGAATAAACCGGATTGAATTACCCTTAAAGTCCATCTGACACGTTCCCAACCATGAAAGTCGACACCGGGGCCGGGGCCCACGGGGCCCACGGGGCCCACGGGGGCCACGGGGGCCACGAGGCTTCGATGCATGCGGCCTTTCGTGGCCATGAGCGATGTCTGGAGCTGTTGATCCGCCATGGAGCCCATGTGGACTCAGAGGAGATCCCCCATCCACTTGTTTTCCTTAGGGTACTTTCGATGACTTAGGACACCTCCATAAGTTTTATATATTATATATATTATATATATATATTATATATATTATATATATATTATATATATTATATATATTATATATATTATATATATTATATATATTATATATATTATATATATTATATATATTATATATTATATATATATATTATATATATATTATATATTATATATATTATATGTATTATATATATATTATATATATCATATATTATATATATATATTATATATTATATATATTATATATATTATATATATATTACATATATCATATATATTATATATATTATATATATCATATATATTATATATAATATATATATTATATATTATATATTATAATATATATAATATGATATATATATATTTATATGCATATATAGTGACCCTCCAAAAGATGAAAAAGGGTACTGAAAAGGCTTAGATTGACGACTATTTTTGTAGGATTTTACTTTTCTATTTTTTTTTTGAGGTTGCTAAAGGTACCCAAAACAGATGGATTCATCAGGTGGTTTCATTTTTGTTGGTTTATGTCAACCAGATGGGGATGACACCACCAAGACTAGGCATCAAGCAACGCTACAGTGGGGTTTGGCTGGACCAGGATTCTTTTTTTCGTTTCAAGAATGGTACTAGGCATCACTTTTTGGGGGCAGATTGCAGTTTTGAGCCATCCTACACGACGGAAGAGCCACTTCGAAATGCCTTAGATGTCCGCTATGTCTTGCTGGTTAAATCCCTAATTTTGCCGAGGGTGTGTCTGAAAATTGAGTAATTATAGGTATACCATCAAACTTGTTTCTTATTAGGAAGGAGCAGATGGAAGACTCCACTCTTGTATGTATGGGGTACTTGTGTATGTTTGCATATCACACAACATATACACACCATATACCCATGAAGATACAGATACAGTGTCGTGTTTTTAATACATCAAAATGGATGCGCACATTTGTTTTTCATCTAGTTGGGCACCATGGTATCAGAATATCGGCGACTGAGTGATTTTGTCATATGTCAATATGTCAGACCCATCACGCTGTGGATTTTGGCATTGATTTGGTGAACACTGTTTGAATCCTCAAATCGTTGAGGGGATTCCTACAAATTGGCGCCGTGAAGCATCCCTTTTCCGATTGTTGCATGGATGGACTTCACAAGATATCCCGTTCCGTCCAAGTCGTATTGGTACAGTATCAGATTCTTCTAGTGAATCCCATGGGAAATCCCATCAGTTTCCAGGATTTCTTGGGTACCACACCATTGATTCGTGTCTTGGCACTGGGGCACTGGAAGGATCTCCGAAGAAAACCAGTGAAATGCTGATCTGACCAAGCAAATCACGTGGAGCCAATATGGCCATATGTTTTTTTCACCCATTTGGGCTCCAAAGTTTGCGAAGCCTAAAAATGGCCACAGTCCATGGTCCTTTGGATGCTAGACTTTAGAGATATTTAAGACTTGTTGTGGTATCTCTGTTACATAAGCAATACCGAGGCCTGGACGACATGTCGAGACCACATTTGGGTAGGGGTCAAGTAGGGACAAAATGTCTACTTGACCACAGAATGATCAGAATGGCTAGCCATTTCAAGAACCATGATCCTGATTGTGTGTTGGAAATTGGAAAGCGCCTACCATCCAAAGATATCAAGAAGTGCCAGGATCTGTTGAAAACCCACGCATTCAATGGGATGCAATAAGGGAATATCTGCAGGAAATTATCGGTTTTTCTTTCAACTATTGTGTGGTTCAGAAATTTACTGCAATTTCATGTCTCAAATCAGCCCACTTGCATACTGTAGAGGTTAATTTCTCCCCAGTTTTTAATCGCTGACTGTAAATCATCTCAATTTTCTTCCTACCCTTTGGTTGTTCTTCAAATTATCTCGGTAGTTTTCCTTTTTGAGGAGTCAGACACACGCTTCTTTGTGTAATGAGGTGCTGCGATTTCGGGACATCTCGGCTGCGTGCGGCTGCTGGTGCAGAATGGTTGGGGACGCCCAGAGGAAATTGTGACCATCCTGGACAATGGTCCATGGGTTCCACAAATGGTGGCTTTTTGAGGATTGAACTGCACCTTTTCTATTTTTCCCCACCTGCCAGGTGAGGGTCTCTAGATTTCATCAGCCAGCGGATTGATATGACCGTTGAAGTAATTTGCCATGTCATTGGGGGCTTTCCCCAACTGCAGCATTGGCCATGAGTGGCCGGATGTTTCCACGTGCTCCTTGCTTTGACCCCCAAGGTGTTACTGTACAGATGGCACCCCACCTACTATCTCCTGGTATGTTGGTTCTACCATCGATTTGGTTGGAGATATATCCACTCTTCACTGGCCATACAAGGTGCCACTATCCAATTCCTGGAAGCATCAAACAGCTAAGACCCTTTAGGAGGATCCCGGGCCTGAAATTCCACCAAAGATACACATCCTAAGCAGGGTAGCCAAAGACATAGATTTTCCAGGACCCACTACAATTTTGCATTTGGCTGTCATTGGCTGTCTAAATTGCCACAAACATCCACAGTCAATCCATCCAAAATCCTGCGATGTTCGAAACCAAAACCAACACAACACAATTGCCACCACTCAGGAGCAAGCCTAACCAAGAAGGACAAGTGGGGCCTTGAGGCAGCGGCACATGCTAGCAGGCCCAACAAGGGCGTGACTTGTGACCGGTCTTAGGACCTGATTTCGGGTTTAAATCCAAATGGACGATTTTTGACAACAGCACAATGTTTCACCGGGGTCCCTCCGAGGGGATTCTAGATTTTCGGTGACACGCGGTGAGTGAGAAGGTTACCAGCAACTGATGAGAATATGTGTTTTTTTCTGTCTCTTCGTTCCTTATTTTTTTTTTGGCCTTTTACTGTCATGATGTGAGTGGGTCAGATTTTAAGATCCTTGCTGTGGCAGGAAAGGGCATTTGCCGTGTGCACGGCTGCTGAATGAAGAACTGGCTTGGGCTTCTCGCCATAGCTATGCACATCCTGCAGCCACGGGATGGGATGTTGATAGACCCACGAAAAACGGAATGTTTTGTTTGCGGCTGCCAACATGACCAGCCATTGTGGAATACATATATACATATATACATATATACATATATACATATATACATATATACATATATGCATATATGCATATATGCATATATACATATATTCATATATACATATATAATATATAATATACAATATATAATATATAATATGTAAAATATAATATATGATATACATAATATAATATATATATATATACATATATAGGATTGTGCTCTTCACACTCTGGTCCGTGTTTTCAAGCATTTTCTACTTTTGATCCTTGCCTGGTATGAGAGCCCCTGATTGACTCGTACACGTGGGATTGGTGGTTCATAAATTGACCAGACTCTATCCACGCAACAAAGTCCCTGGCCAGTTTTCTTCGAAACGGAGCATGCGGATGCGGATGATGATGATGATGATGACGACGACGACGACGACGATGATGACGACGACGACGACGACGACGATGATGATGATGATGATGACGGTGACTGTGACGATGACGATGACGATGAGGATGATGATGATGATGATGATGATGATGACGACGATGATGTGATGATGTGATGATGATGATGATGATGATGACGACGATGACGATGACGACGACGATGATGATGCCGACGACGATGACGATGACGATGACGAAGACGAAGATGAAGATGAAGATTCAGAGTTCCTAAGTCTCTAGGATGGAGGGGTTTCAAAATAATTTTTTTTAATGATTTATTTATGATTTGAATACGATTTCCATTTATGATTTTTTTATGGGTTCAAATTGTGGTTATGATTTTTTTATGGTTTGGATATGATTTTTTAATGGTTTTTTTAGTCCTCAGAATCTGGTTTTCAGCTAAAAACTCGAGAAATTTTCGATTTTTTTATGATTTTGCTAGAGTTTCCTTTTCCCCAAAGCCTTTCCAGCAGAAAATTTGATTTTGGAAGCAAAATCGTAAAAAAATCGTAAAAAAATCGTAAAAAATCGTAAAAAAATCGTAAATGCATCCAAGGTCCCCAGAATCTGGTTTTCAGCTAAAAACTCGAGAAATTTTCGATTTTTTTATGATTTTGCTAGAGTTTCTCTAGGAAAATCGTAAAAAAATCGTAAAAAAATCGTAAAAAAATCGTAAATGCATCCAAGGTCCCCAGAATCTGGTTTTCAGCTAAAAACTCGAGAAATTTTCGTTTTTTTTTAATGATTTTGCTAGAGTTTCCTTTTCCCCAAAGCCTTTTCAGCAGAAAAAATGATTTTGGAAGCAAAATCGTAAAAAAAATCGTAAAAAAATCGTAAAAAAATCGTAAAAAAATCGCATCCAAGGTCCCCAGAATCTGGTTTTCAGCTAAAAACTCGAGAAATTTTCGTTTTTTTTGTGATTTTGCTAGAGTTTCTCTGTAAAAATCAAATTTTCTGGTGGAAAAGACTTCAGGGAAGAGGAAATTCTACGAAAATCGTAGAATAATCGTAAAAAAATTTTCTCGAGTTTTTAGCTGAAAACTAGATTCTGGGGACCTTGGAAGCATTTACGATTTTTTTACGATTTTTTTACGATTTTCCTAGAGAAACTCTAGCAAAATCATAAAAAAATCGAACATTTCTCGAGTTTTTAGCTGAAAACCAGATTCTGGGGACCTTGGATGCATTTACGATTTTTTTACGATTTTGCTTCCAAAATCAAATTTTCTGCTGAAAAGGCTTTGGGGAAAAGGAAACTCTAGCAAAATCATAAAGAAATCGAAAATTTCTCGAGTTTTTAGCTGAAAACCAGATTCTGAGGACTAAAAAACCATTAAAAAAACATAAAAAAATCATATCCAAAACCATAAAAAAACATATTCAAACCATAAAAAAATCATAACCACAATTTGAACCCATAAAAAAATCATAAATGGAAATCGTATTCAAATCATAAATAAATCATAAAAAAATTATTTGCCAAAAATGGCATCCTAAAGGATTTAAGAAGTCTGAAGATGAAGATGAAGATGATTATGATGATGATGATGATGATGGTGATGATAGTGTCAGTATTGTTGACATCATTACAACTTTCAACACACCAATCAATAAACCATGACAACATGTTGAGCCGCGCCGAGGTTTGCTGATGACGCTGATGGCCGGGGCGGAGTGGAGCCATTGGGGGCTGCTCGGTGGAGCCAATGTGGCTGAGATCATCCAAGAAAGATGGGAATTTATTCAACGACCAATGGGCGTTTAAGGAACTAAAAAAAACAAAATGGAGGTCTCCCAAAAAATATTGGTACCCCCAAATCATCTATGTTATTTTCGGATTTTTCATTGTAAACCATCCAGCCATTGGGGTACCCCCATTTTAGGAAACCTTCACATATCTCACCCGCAAAAAGGATTTGTATAAACCAAGACTCATGGGAGTTTAAGTGATTCAACCAATGAAAACCGGTGATTTGATCAGACGAATATCAATACATCCAGCAAGCAGCGGGCATGTGTCAAAACCCAAGACACCAGGAATCACAAATGTGTGTGCGCATTTTTGGACCCATCTCCCTGTGAAGAATGACCTGAACTTGAATCCTTCCTATTTCAACATTTCCAATTGGCTATGTAATTATACAATATATTGATATCATATGGCGCAAAATACCTATATCATCGCATGTTTTTTGTATCTAAGATATTTGTTGTCTTGCCCCTCAGGTGAGTCACATCCACACCTGGCATCAGCGCTAAAATGAAACATTGACCGCACCCGCGCCGCTGCGTCCAAACGGACGGCACGGACATGAAACATGGGAAGGGAACGAAAGAGGAAGTGGATCCGATGTAAACCCATACCCAAGTTGGGGTTGAAGATTGGGTTTGCAAAGACTGGATAGCATTGAACGGCAATTCGCTGAAACTAGAAGTGCATGGAACTGAGAAACCCATATTATTTCGTTATTTATTATACAGGAAAATGGAAAACGATCCTAAATATGTGACACATAATGGTAAATTTTCTACTTTCATCTTAATTATTCAGAAGGTATTACATGTGGATGTAAATGTCTCAGCAGACCTTTTCCCCAGTAGACCCGGTGGTGTCATCAAAACAAAGTACTCAGACTCAAGTTTTTCTACATTCAATTATGCTCACTCCGAGTTATTGCGTCCACAAGCATTTTGTGTTTAGATGATAGATAATAAGGGGAATGATTCTGAACGTAGCGCATGGCCAGTGCAGCTTTGAATGAGTACATTATTATTTCACACCTAGTCTTATGTCCAATTCAATTCGCAGTAATAGGATTACGATCCCAGCAATACTTATCCATGTTTGACTCACATAAGCTAAATGGATATAGTTATAATCCGATTTAGTTCATTGGTCAGTGAGTCATACAGTGCCTTTTGACATTTGGAAATCTGAGTTTTCCAGGGATCCCTCCACTTTTCGCACTGGTCCCTTCTCCGGAATCGATTCGGATTTTTTTTCCCTCCATCTGTGTGAATGCTGTCATTGAGGAGCACCACAGACAGTGTAGAGAATGGTGCACTCGTGCGGTAAACTGGCCTGAACAGGATTGCGCACTTTTGATCGCGCACGTCTGGGATATGATGTTCATGTACTTTTGATCATCTTCGTTTCTTTTGTTACACGGATTATTTTTGAAAATAATGCACAACCTTTACTAAAATAGATAGAACATAATTAGAACACTTATGCCTTGATCCTTGCATTGAGTTCTCCATGTCTGTAGCTGTTGGACGTGGAAATCAATTTGGGATGGCTTGGGGGTGATGTTCACGCCAAGACAAGATCGATCTAATGAATTCAGGATACCCAAGATTGACTTATCTCAACTGCGTCCAAATCCTTGTTTAGTTTGACCTATCACAAGATGTGACATCTTGTGCCCCTCTGGGACTGAGTTCAAGGGCTGTAGGTGACTGTTTTTTTCGAGTACTGTTGTTGTATTTATGCAACAGCCTGCGGCATTCGGCCGGCTGGCCTTTGGCCTCCAGGCCCAAAGCAGGGGTTGTGTAAAGCTGGTTGGTGCAATAAAAGCTGGTTGTGTAAAAACGGGTTTGTCTAAAAGTTGGTTTGTGAAAAAGCCGGTTGGTGTAAAAGTTGGCTTCTGTAAATGTTGGTCGGTGCAATGTCGGTGGTCTGTGTAAAAGCTGGTGAATCGAACATGTGGTTTGTGTAGAAGCTTGTTTGTGCAAGACCTTGGAGATTGAACAGAAAAGAGTCAAGTTGGTAGATCCAAGCGGCATGGCTGTGAGAGTGCATGTAGAGAAGGCCGTGAGTGTAGAGGAAGGGCAGGAGTTGCAGGTGCTTATGGAAAGTGGTTGGCGCAAAAGCTGCATGTTAGAACGTGCTTCTGGCTGGAACGGACAGTAAAACGTGGAGAAAAACGTGGAACAATGCCGCATCCCAGGGGCGAGCCGGAGCAACGAAAGATAAGACGGAGATGGGATGATGAAGGACGATGAAGAAAGAGAACAGAAGAAGAAGAAGAAGAAGAAGAAGGAGAAGAAGAAGAAGAAGAAGATGAGGACGAGGATGAGGACGAGGATGAGGACGAGGAAGAGGATGAGGATGATGATGATGATGACGACGATGACGATGATGATGACCACCTAGACATACCTAGACAATGATGATGTAAATAAGGTCAATGTTAATTTGCCTGAACTACTATACTAGACTATAGTAGACTAGACTATAGTAATTATATGTGAGGGGGATGGCAGCCGAAGCAAACATCTAGCTATTGCTTTAGCTACAACTAGATCTCAACCTAAAGCTATAGCTAGAGCTACAAGTAGATTTCAACCTAAAGTTAGAACAAGGTCAAGCCATTGCTGGAGCCAAGGAGCTAGGGCCAGGATACAATCTAAAGATTGAATCAGAGCAAGGCACTGCTGTAGCTAGGACTAGAATTCGAATTCAAACTAGAACAGGATCAAACTATAACTCTAGCTGGAACTAGAACTCAATCTCAAACCAGAACAAGTTAAAACTAGTAAAGGTATGACAAGGTTTGTAACAAGAACACCCACAACACAGGCAGGCCCGCGGATTTTGACAGATTTCCATATCAACACCCTAGTATCTTGGTCTTCACATCAAAGTAGGTAGTTATGATTAGTTATGGATGTTCATCTTCCCCAAAGATATGAAAAAAACACATATTTTGACCCATCCGACGCAAAACATCTTGAAGCATCATCCCAGTGAAATGGGTCCCGCGTCCCGTCGCTCAACTGTTGCAGCATTGGTTGCTGGATGTCAGGACCATGCATGGGTGAGGCTGACAGTACTGGGATGTTCAAATCGAAACTGTCAAGGACAGCTGCAGAAAAGCAAAGGAAAACATGAGAGCCATTCGTTTGCGACCCCCAACACTAGGAGTTTCTGAAAAGGCAGAATTCATGATCCAGCTGTGTTGTAACAGGAAAAACTGATGCAACGACTTGACAAAAATTGCCCCCGGCCAAATGCTGGCCGCCAGTGGGCTCCCAGTGCTTGTTCACGTTCGCTGCGGAGAGGCCGTTCAGCGTCAGGTGTCGAAATGCCAGAATGTCACAAAATGTCTTGATGAAAGGCTTGATTGCCCCCTCCTTTTGAAAACCCTGTCTCATGTTAAACATCTTCCAGTTTTTTAAAATATTTTTTGTTGCTGGTGGGATGTGCAACTATGTGCAACACATGCAATGCACATGCAATAGTTACAATCTTCAATATTTGGACATATTTGTGCGTTTTTTTCCAGCAAAATTTGGCAATCTTCACTTTTGGAGGTCAGCCAAGATCGCTTGGCCAAGTATAGTTCGAGTTGACTGCCGCGTTTGGTCACCGATCTGTGGTGATGTTCCTTGCTGCGACACGGCTCTTGGAGCTGCCTCACAGTGAGGGGACCACCACATCGGTCGTTTCTGTTTTTTGTTGCTCCGATGGGCGGCTGAAGGTCAGCTTGGCACGGGACTACATTCCCTGATGGGCGGCTGGAACGGTACCTGGCTTGTCCCGGATTTCGGGATGATATGTTCTGGTAATAGAATGCGTAGTATAATGTTATGCATACTTTGGATTTTGCATGATTTTGGTGATATAACATGATATAACTCCTGGGTCATGGATTAATTAATATGGATCGGCACTACTCCTGAACATTAGGGGGTGAATGGGACCCACGCCCAATCTTGGCGCCCATCATGCATTAAGATGAGCAGTGCCGAAGATGTCCCTGTCTGAGAGTTGTCTACCGGCCCCTGCACTCCCCACCTGAGATATAGAATAAATAGAATGCGCACTCATCATTTTTGAGGGTTCTGTATCTAAACTTGCCATATGTATATTTCATATATATATATATATATATACATACATGAATATTATTACACATCACCGTGTATTGGAAAAGAGCGGATCAGATGTGTTGAGTTTTTCTTTACCCAGCGCCTATTACGGCTGCCCTTTTCTAGGAAGCCGATGGCTTGTCGTTTGGTTGGATGATTTTCGCTGATTTATAAAATCTCGAGATACAAAAAGCCACCCGGTACAAAAAAGGTACCCCTGTGTTGATAAGTACCGCCCAGTTTTCCCAACCAGGTAAATGAACGTAAATGGGAATTGTATGTAATTGTAAGTCACGGCTCCCTTTATTTTCGTAAAAAAAGAAACAGTCGCACCCGGCCACTTCCGGGGAAGTGCTGCCCGATCAGCCGTGGTTGTCACCCGCGGCAGCCTGTCGTTGAAGCATGACTTGCTCTCACGAGAAGTGTTGAGCAAACGAATTAGCATGAAATACGCTTGGCACCACCAGTGCCAAAAACCATGCTTCATGCATGCAAGAGAGGTGTACCACTGCATAGAAATGATCAAGTGATACAACAGAAAGCTAAATATCCAATATATGTATACATACAGGACATATATACATATAATTATTATATACATATTATCTATATGCATATTGTATTATAGTATGTAATATCTATATGTGTTTTGTATGTAGTATGTGGTATTTATGTAGTATTTAGTGTGTAGGATATCTTGTAGAGTATACAGTATATGTATATTATACATATCACCTTCGTATTCCTGTCTGAAAGTGGCACGCCAAAGCGTGACCTTTTTTTATGGCCGGCAATACGGGAAGGGTAATGAGTCGATACACAGAGGGCTTGTGTGTTTCTTAAAGTCCTGCTGAGAAACTCTAGATCTTGTTGTTTGATCTTTTGGGTGAAGACTAAGAACCCCTTCCAAAGAAGATGTGTGTCCTTGGCTCTTTGGGTATCTCCCCAGGTAGCGCGGAGGGGACCAAAATATAGACCCTGTCAATTCATAGGTATGGAACACTAAACATTTATGGGGTTTCAATATCTATCTTTACTGGAAGATACTTAAACACCACTAACAAACTCATATATACTTAATTAGTCACTACACAACAGCAATGCTCGCAGTGCGTGCATCTCTCCTTTTGTTGGCCGGCCGACAAGGTTGACCAAAGTTGCAAAGTGAGATGGTTAAGCTTGGGATGCAGCAGGTGGTTTAGGGTTCTCAGGAAGGATCTTATCACCAGACCGATGGATGTTCAGAGGGGTAGAGGATTCCGTCCATCAGTAGAAATTCTTTATAGATTTCTGACTTGTCAAGATGATTCTGGAATTTGCTGCCATGCTTACTCACTTGCACTAGGGTCATGAAAGAAAATCAACAGATTTGACGGACTGTTTGAAGGATTCCTTCCCTCAATTCCTTCACAAGATAGGATCTCCCTGATTTGCTTTCCACATTTTCCACCATAGACAGAATCTCGACAGTGATGGTGTATCACATGTGTATCACTTTTCCGACCGGGCTCAACTCATTCTGAGGCTTTTGTTGCAGGCCTTTGATCAGGGTTTAGTCGGTTGATTTCTGTAATGGTAATCTTTTTTCGCCAGAAATGGAGGATGATGAGAGCTCAGCTCCTATGTTTTCGAGCACCAAAGCTGTCGTCCAAGATCAGCCATATCTCCCCTGCGATCCATGTTTGATCCTGGGTTGCTTGAGCCGGGGCCGCAGATGGGAGAGACACCCGCTTACCCAGTTCCAGTCCGAGCATTGTTGATGCCCAAGGATGATACGAACTAATCAAGCATGGAAAATGTGCTCGAATCCATCTTAAGAAATTGATCTGCATTTTTGGCCTGTGTGACCTTCTTTCTTCATTGCCGCAAAGTCAAAGCTATATTATTTATACTAGACATATTTATACTATTTTATACTATATTTCATGCCATATCCATCCACAACAGAGTTCTCAACTCAAGACCCACCTGATTCCAGCTGCCCCGGTGTGGTGGAGATTTCAGTCTGCGCCATTGGAGCGAAAATCCGCGAGCCATGAGATGCCATGAACCATTGGTGCCCTGAAACCCACCTGGCAGTGCGACAATGACGTTGACTGCCAAACCGACTTTCTGTTTGGAACAACTGGTGTAACTGTTCCAGCTCGGCCAAAGGCAGGACAAGGTCGAAGGACAGCCGTGACGCGATTGTGTATAGTTCTGATGTACCACGTGCCACGGGGATCCAAAAGTGGTCTTGAGGATGTCGGAGCACGGTCGGTATGATCAGTGGTGAAGTATCCCGAGTATTCTTGGGAACTATCTCCCATCATTTGTTAGCTATATATATATACATATATGGTTCAGATATGTTTAGATTGTGATATGTATACAAACTTACAGTAGTCGTATTTTTACGACATATTGTATATCCATTTTCCGTTCGTGTGGGTTATCGCAGCTAGGGACAATGAACGGTTGGAAGTGAGCATCCATGCCCCATTTACATCAGGTACGGGCACATCTTGATGGATGACTATGCCAACAGCCGCCCAGCTACATTTCGATGTGAATCCAGGAAGGTTACGGCAAGAGAGTTTTTGGGGGATCCAAAAAAATGACATGATCACTGTCCAATGGTCATAATTGTATTATAATTGTCCATGTCACATGATGTCACTTCATCTCAAGCTAAACTCCAACCTCCACCAGCTCGAAAAAAGATCCAACAATCTGAGGTTATTACATGCTCAGTGCCCTGGACGCTGAAATGCGGGGAGATCGCAAGGAGATGGAGAAGCTCGCAAGACAGGCCCCAGATGGACCTCAGCCGAAATCGGAGATCAGATTGATCTGTCACCCAAAAGTCCACTCCAGCAAAAGACCAAGATTTTCGGGATGCTGATCCATTGGGATTGGTTTAAGCCGAATCCCACTTGCTACAATTTTTTTAGGGAATCCCAATTGAATCGTTGCTTCAATTCCCTGCCATTGCTACTTTTTGGTTCTAACACAATTTTTGGTTGCTTTTGGTTGTTTTAGATTGGTTCTCCTACCACTTTTTTGTTCTAATATACCTTTGTTTTTGGTTTTGGTTCTAAAAAACATCGCTACTTTTTGGTTCTACCATTTTTTGGTTGTTTTGCTGGTTTTATTGCTATGCTTAACGACGCCAGGGGCAGATCATCTCCCAAATCCATCAGTTGGCCGAGCCCATGCGGCGCCCACCGCGAGACTTGGTACGGGACACCCGGCGAGCAGGGTGGAGCTGCCATGATATGTTTTTTTAAGGGAGATTTACCCTGAAAGATAGGGATTAGCATGATTTAACTGGGAAAAACAATGATATTCATGATTTAACTCGGAACAGCGGGATATCATGTGGATATCATGGTCTCAGAACCAATGATTAGCCTCTATTGTAATCAGCTCCGTGGCTTGCTGGAAAATGCTCCATCTAGTTCGATGATCACGCCACGGGGTGGGGTTATAACTATAGTCATAACATGTTAAAGTGGGTTGAAACATGTTGAAACACCAAGTGTTGCTTGAAGGATCATGGATCATATTCAGTTCTGGGGGGAACCTTCAGGGTACCTTTTTTGAATATCAGTAGTGAGCAGCAAGATATGAATGAAGTAGGCTATCCTAGATTGGACGTGAGTTGAGTGGAGATTAGCCTATTTTCATAGGGGCACATCACCCACAACATAATATAACTCGCTTTATGGGCGGTTCAACGAACAAATGGCGATAAAAAGTTGACCAGTGGAATTTGGTCACTAACCCTGCTTTGCTCGTTTTCGAGTCCTGAAGTTATTGGCTTTGAAGCTGTGTCTCAAATCATTTTTTGTACATGTGCACCATGGATCACCATGGGATATTAGGATATCACCCAAGAAAAATCTCATTGTCGCATCCACAGCAAAATCATGCCTATAAACGCGGGATGTTCACCTTGATGTGACTAGTAAAATCAGATCACCCTGGTTAAACCAGGAACTGGAACGCGATAACTATGATCCAGAATAGGAATAGTCAGGAATACTTGCCTATCAATCATTTGAACAGGTCAGGTTTTGCCCGCTGCTAACATTTGTTTGGCTAACTCCATGACAAGTCGTCCCCCAATTTACAACAAGAATGCCAAGCCAATCCCAAGCGAAACGGAGTTGATTATTAGCTTCGCCACATTACTCACCGTTGATTTTCACATTTCAATTCGCATCACCATAGTTACCATAGTTGCTGATGAAATCCACAATTTTTTGCTGAAACAATACACGCCTATGTCTTGGCACTTCACCAGCAAATTTTCAACCCAGTGCTTCGATCCCCCAATTTTGCTGGGTTTTGATTGAAGCATAGTGTCGGAAAATCACAATCTTTGCTGATTAGAGCATTTTAAATCCCCCAATCTTGCCCCCAGACCCCCCGTTTGATGCAATCCTGAATGTTGCTGATTGAATCCCCAATTTTGCTTGAACAAAATCAGCCTACTTGTGAAGTCTCAACTGTTTCCCATTGTTGTTGCCGACTCAATCTCCAATCCCAGATGAGATTGTTGGTTATTTCCCGCTACATATCCCATTTTAGCCCATTATATATCTTTTAGATCCCATGATATATCATGATATATCTCATTACATCCCATTACAGCCTATTAAATATAACTATAACATAACTATAACATACTATAACCCATTCTATATGACTCCTTTTGGTGAAATCCCGCATGCGTTGCGCTTGTTGCGCTGGCTTGTTGCGCGCGTGTCGTGCAAGGTGCCACGATTCTTCGAGAAGTTCCAAGGGGACGCCAGTAGACATGCCTTCGAGGCCAGGTCTTTGGGAAGTGGGAAGCTGTCAGTCGATTCAAATGGCTTTGTCTGAAAATGTTGGGTTAATCGATTTGAAATAGCCAACATGAAATGGTTAATAATCATTATCCCTATTAATAATGGATAATAATCATTATCCCTATTAATAATAATCTTCCCAATGAAATAGCCATTTAAAAACGGGATAATGATTATTAACCATTTACTGTAACTACTGTACTGAAATCTATACTGAAATCATCTGAAAAATCTGACTGATAACTTTTGATATGTGACAAATACAGTGCTTGTGAAAACATGACTTTTCTGGCCCCTTGGGAACTTATAAGAGCCCATCTACTTCCAGAGCCCACAGCCGCTAGTCCCCACATGTCAGGAAGGTGTGACACATTTCAAGAAGCACCTGATCCAGCGAGTTGGAAACCTCAAGTTGGGTGAAGTTTGACCAACCCGACTTCAGCCAGATTTTTGATGATTTTGGGGCATCAAACAGGGCACTTTGTAAAAGGGGTAATGATGTACGTCCTTTGCATGGGAATCACATAGATTCTGTCCGATATGTGAGGAAGACATTGGAAGACTTGTCAAATGAGTGATCGAAAGAAGGCTTTAGAACCAAGGTTTGATTGCAGCAATGCCAATAGCTCAAGTCCATGGTGTTGGTGAAGTATTCCCAAACGATTGTGTAAAATACTTCCGACTCGATCGATCATATCCAATTCGGTGTAGACTGTAGAGAATTATGGAATCTAGTCAGTTGTTTCAAATCTCTAAGACCTATATATATATATGTATATATATATATTGTACAAACATAAAATCATAAATACGGATATAAATATATCACTCTCAAATATATATATATATATTGTAATATATATATATATATGCACATTGACATATTTGCATACTCAAATACCAATCCATCAGCTGCTTATTCGAATTGATTATTTTTGATGGGGGTTGACGTGTAACAACCGGCAAGTGTACTGGGTACCCGAAACCCATGGGTTTCACTAAGAAATAGCTGGACCCTCCAAGTGCCCCAAAAATGGATAGATGTACTAAAGTGATGGGGTGTAAAATAACAGTTTTTATGGGTATCTGGGTCTTGGTAGATCTAATTCTAAGCCGACTTGGATGATTTTGGGGTATACCCGACTTTTGGGAAATATCCATGTCCCAGCCCTGACAATTTCTCAAGGCCATCGTGAAGAAGCAGGAGGAGGAGCTACATGGAATGGGTCATGGTCGGGGGAGCGAACAGTCTGAATCATTCTGGTACAATTCCATCCCCCGTAATATTCTACATCCTTGGTTTCTGCGATTTCCCTACCGCCCCATGCAGCCACACTGCATGCATACCTTCAGGAGGCAGAAGCTGCCAATCAACCACAAGAGATGGAAGAGGTGCGATCGGCTGAAGAATCTCCCCAGTGATGTTCAGTGATTTTCCCAACGACACCTCCATTTCTTCAGGGGATTTTCCAGCCCAAGTTTGAGCACCAGAGGGTACAGATTTGAGTGTTGAGGTTGAACATGGATTTGTTGATATATATATAATAATAATATAGTAATATAATAATAATAACAACAGAATAATTATAATAACAATAATAATAACAATAATAATAACAATACTCATAACAATAATAATGATAGTAATAATAACAATAGTAATAATGATAACAATAGTAATATGTATATATATATATATATAACTACATATGTATTCATATGTATGTGTATATAAATATATACGCATATTGTTATGGTGAAACCAGTAAGAATGAACCAGGTATAGCTTATTCCTAATTCTACCAGCTTAACCACATCAGCGGGAAGGGTATGAGTTGTAGCCGCTAAGGGAAAGCCATTCAAGCGCCAGCTCTTGTAGTCTTTGACGTCAAATGGAATTGGGACAGAATGAGAACTAGGATGAAGGAAACTATGAAACAAATAGACTAGCAGTAGGAACACCTTCAGACTTCCTTTCTATTCTGCTAGACCATGCTAGACCATGCTAGACCATGCTAGACCATGCTAGACCATGCTAGACCATGCTAGATCATGCTAGACCATGCTAGACCATGCTAGACCATGCTAGACAGCTCCAAAAAACCTTGATGGGGCAGTAAATTGATCCTTTTCAAACCTTTCAGAGGGTCATTAACCACCATCAAAATGATCAAAATGATCAAACTATCATTTTTCAGGCTCATCAACCCCCTTGTCATTTGGGGAGGGTCACCTCAAAAACGGCGCGCCTACCGGCGCCAACCGAATATCTACCTGCTAGATCCTGTAACAGGACATGCAGCCTGTGTCGCTAGTGGAAGCCACTTGGATGCAGGAAGAAACGTGGTTTTGGTCACAGATTTGGCCGCTGGTTTCTTCAAGAATTTACGGGTTGATTGCCATTCACATTCCCTTTTTTGAAGCTAGGGCCTGACTGTTCGGAGAGTAGTCTTTGGGGGGGTCATATGTTATGTATATAAATGTGTTATACATTTGGGAGGATACTCATCAAATGCAGTTGCTGGTTGCCCATTTTGGGGCAGGTCGTTGCGTCCCAGCCAGCTGGCTCGCCATAGCAGTCTCAGTTCACCTGCCCCCAGCCTCACAACCTCATTGTGAAACTTTAGAGAGCCATGGCTTGAGCAATGGAAAGCCATCAATATGAAAAACATCATCCAGAAATCAAAGGATGCAACCCTCACGGTGAAGTCGTGCCGTCCATCAACAACATCAACAGAACAGATGATGGCTACAAATATTCACCCAAGGGGCCCTGCTCCTACTTGTAGTTGTAAGTGGGCTATTTCACCCAATTTCACCTGCATTTAAGTCTGTTCAAGACTTGTAACATCCCATTTTCAAGAGAGACAAGTGGTTCAAAGCCGTCTGAAATAACCCCCATCAACAGAGAATCAAGCACCTGGTTGCAACGCCAAACTGATTGTCCCGGGATGATCAAAACCGGACCTCCTGGCCGAGTTCGTCAACTGGCCGAGGTCATGCACGACATGTCGGTTGAGGAGCGGATGGGCCCTGGAGGTCTGGATCCAGTGGAGGTCTTCGCCACTCTTCCGGTAGAACTGCAGGAGTGCTGCTTGGATGACTTGAGTTAGAATGTGTCCTCAGGCTAGTTGAATACCCATGGTATGAAGATGTATGAAGAATGGGTTTACCATTGGAAGTACTGATGGTTGCAAAATCCGGCATCAGTTGGTAGATGGACAAGATTCCATCTACGAATCCCATGATTTAAAGTGAACTGGTGCAGGATTTTGTCCATCCGCAGTATGAATGAGAACTTGATCATCTGATAACGGTCATGTATTCATGTCTTTGTTTGAATGAACATGGTCAAAATCGGGATGTAGCCATCAAAAATTGAGATTTGATCATCAAGACATATGATTGAAGCAGCACAGGCAGAATTTCACCAAAAATTGGTTCAGTCAAAAAAGCACACGGAAACATCATATAAAATTGATAAAGTTTGATCCCATGGAACATGAAAAGGCAGGGGTGCACGCGTGATTTTGACAGATTGAGGGTCCTCGGAGCTGAAGTTTTAGTTGAAACTTCTGGTGACCGCTGCCCATGTACACAACCCACCCAGGTTACCAATCTCAGGTCCATTTTTTTTTACTAGCTTTGGCTGTTTCGAATCTTTCCATATCTTTCCTATCCATTTTTAGGGTCCGTTCATTTTTCCACAACCATGCCTGGCCACTGCCTTAACCCGAAATCTCCTGTGGAGTATGGCTCAAAGATGCTCAAAGTCGGATGGTTTTCATAGCTGAAAATACCATCCCCCAACTAACATGGCAGTGTGTCAAAACCTTGTACCCCTGTAGTTCACATCAAAATAGCTGGGATTTATGGATGTTCATCCCCCCAAAAATGGTATTTTCATAGGTATTGATCCATACCCACATAGACCCTGAGAATTGCAATGCCCAACTCATGGCAGGGTCTATCTTAGTTGGAGGGGTGGCACTTTTTTCCATTGCCTAGAATGGAGCTTACAATGCTCGGTCAATGGGAATCGATCATGAGAATCCCCAATATATAGTGCAGCGTAATACCTTCTAATCGCTAATCATCAACCAACCCTCAATAGCTGGATGGTTTATAGTGGAACATCCTATTTATGTAAATAGATGATTTAGGTACCCCTAGCCATTAGGAAACCTCCATATGTCCAATTGTTTATGTCCAATAACATCATACAAAATATCATTGTACCACAAGAATCAACTTTCTGGGTCCAAAGGGGTACTTGGGGGTGCATCCTACTTGGTAAATGGCAAAAAATACCCCCAGTTATATATGGAATATCCCCACTGTTCGATGGGATCGTATATGGCTTACTAGAATATGTCGTACCCAATAACGGTTATATTTATATTATATACCGTCATATATAGATTATGTCATATAATATATAATAATGGTTATATATGTAGATTATTAACCACTAAGTGGGACCCCCAGAAATGGGGTCTCTCCCCTCGTCACAGCGGTCGGCGGCCGTCAAGGCTTCAAGTCCGGCGACGTCGAGATGCTAAAGAAGGCCAGGGAAGCGGAAAGTTTCAGTAAGAGAAAAGGCTAGATAAGTCCCTGTCTACACATGTATAAGATGTAAAAGTACATCTTCATATATACGTATATATATTATATCAAATCATATTATATTATATATTATATATTCTATATATTATATTATATATTATATATTCTATATATTATATTATATACTAATTATATGTATTTTATTATTTATTATATGTATTATATTATATATATTATATATTATATTATATTTTATATTTTATATATTATACAATATATAGCATATATTATATATTATATATTATATATAGCATATATTATATATTATATATTTTATATATTATATATTATATATTATATTTTAACATATTATATTATATTATATTATATTTTATTATATTACATTTTATTATATTATATTTTATTGTATTATATTCTATTATATTGTATTCTATTATATTATATTATATTATATTACATACATATAATATTACATACATATATTACATTACACATGTACATATATATATATATTGTATATACTATATGTATGTATATATAGTGTATATATACTATATATTATATAGAATATATATATATGAGATATAGTATGTATATAGTATGTATATATTATATCTGTATTTATATATTATATATACGCTATCTATATACTATATATTACATACTATTTATTTTATCTATACATTTTATTATATTATATCATATTTCATTATATCATACTATATTATATTATACTATACTACATTATATTATATATATACTATATTATATTATATTATATCATATCATATTATATTATATTATATTATATTGTATTATATTATATTGTATTATATATATTATATTGTATTATATTATATTATATTATATTATATTATATTATAATATATATATGTATTCATCTTTGTATTTGTAGATGAGTATCTAGTTGTATGTGAAGATGTAGTTGTGTATGTGTATGTGTGCCTTTTATATGTACTTACACAGGTACGTACGGTGTAATTACATGTACTCCCGCACTTACGCATTACCTACCTAGCTACCTACCCACATACATACACACGTGCATAGGCACACGACTTGGGGATTGCCATTTCAAGCCATCGCCGCATAGAAGATATGACCTGGTGGCCTTCTCTTTTTAGTGCCCCAGTGCTATCCTTGCCCTGCCCCTTCTAACCTATTGCCTATCCTAGCCTATATTCTACTTAGTACTTCTTTGCTAGCTGCTGTGTTCTAACTTACACGCTACCTGACCGCTAGAAATATTGCAGCTATGTATAAACCCGCCACGGAATATGTTCAATAGTCAATGCTACCACCTAGTGGCTAATATGGGTTTGTCTGAAATGGAGTACCCCTCAATCCACTGGTTCATCTTCCATTTTGTCCAGTAAATGGCAATTTACGTGGTGTACTCCATTTTCAGGCACACCCAGATCATATCAAGTTGGTTAGATTAGATAGTACATATCTATAGTACATATAGTTAAATCCCTTTTTGTAATGGTTAAATCACCATGTTCCAAAGCAAAGCACACATATATCTACCAATCTGACATACCTCCCAATGCTACATACCTAGTACCGCCCGCCTGCTGCTCCCAACATCACCATGGTGAGGGGGGACCAGGCAGAGTAACAGGGGCTGGATACCCATAATATATGCACATAGATGCACATAATTGATGATAATTGTATGTAATTGTATGTATATCTATACATGCTTATAACATCATGGTTAACCTACTGATAAACCAACATGGCTCTCTATTTGACCCCACCTCAACCAGTGGATGGCATGGTTTTTTTTGCGAATCGCCTTTGCTTCGCGGGCTTCGTGTGGACAGGTTGCACAGAGCATGGACCCCGCGGAGTTTAAGAACCACCTCGACCGATGTACAGATGCAGGTGCCCGATGGTGCCCGTTTTGCCCGTTTTGCCCGTTTTTCATACTGGGATGGAAGAAATCCTACAGTTGATAAGTGGATTATAAGTGGTATATCCCATTATTTGGAAGGTTTCTACCTTCCAAGGCTTCCAAGGTCCAAGATTTCTTCCATCCATAGTAGATTGGGGTTGCTTGGGGTGCTTGGAGGATTATATTTGCCCTTGGGCCTGAATTTTTTGGTTGAGACCCTGTTGTTTTGGGGAGACTTTTTGCGCAAAGCATTTGTGTGCCCCCCACGGACCTGAACCTTTGGGTTAAAGATTCAGATTTTCTGCAAGCTCCTTTTGTTCAAAGGGCTGCCTTTTGGGGGATACCCTTAGATTTCCGTGATTGAAGGATGAGTACTATTCCCCAATATGGGAACATATCCCATGTTTTGGAAGGCTTTCCGGCATGTAACCACGGGCTATGAATCTTCTGAAGTGAAGAAATCTAGAAAATCTTCGCGCTTCCACAAGGCTTTGCGGGAGCAGCTCTGGATTTCAAGCATTGCAGCGGATCAAACCAGAATCGCTCCTGAGATCGGTTGGATACAGCTCCAAAATTTCCATAATTATATTTCCATATATTAATCAACATATATTAATATTAGCTCAAGACCAAATTTCTCCAATTTTTTATTGTGATTTGAAGGTCTCGTTGGCTTTTCGGAATGAAAACACAACCGACTCGAAACGCGGTGTCCAATCTCTCCCCCAATGGTTTGATGCTGACATGGGCTAATAATTGGCTAATATATATATATAATATATATATATAATATATATATAATATATATAATATATATAATATATATATGTATAATTATATATATAATTATATATATACACATACATACACTTTACAAGCACCTGAACAATCTTGAATAATGACTGAAGATAATCTAACTATATCTATATAATGATGATCTGATGGTATCCCACAATCTCCAGCAATCATCATTAGATTAAGAATTTTTAATAGTATCAAACAGTAATATCCAATCATATCCAATAATCCACTAACATCTAATGGAATTGAATGATAATATCCAACAAGCTCGCCCTCTTCGGTACCCTTTTTGGTCGCACAGGCCTCTGGAGCACCGGTGGCTGAACGGCGCCGTTGGCGCCAAGCGCTATGCGCCAAGCGCTTGCGGTGTGCACAGATTGCGCGCAAGCGCTTCGGTGCTGGGCAAAAAGGCCACGTGAGGGTCATCTGGGCACCAAATTGGGGAATTTTAGACTTGGGGAGATGGATTTGCTCAAGATTCATAGTGCTTTTGGAGACTAAGCATCACTTATATCATGATCAATACTGTTGAAGAGTGATAGTGATGGTCATCATATTCATGATAGCAACAACACCCCTGACAAAGCATGGCGGAATATGCTGTGTTTGTTGGTTCTTGCACGGAACATGTCCAACAACAGGGATACTGTTTGCCATCAACACCGGTAAAGAAACTTATGCAAAAACCCAATTGGAAAACTGAGAAAACTGTGGTAAGTCTTGAAAATGTGGGGCGCCAAGAATGCACCCAACTTGGCAATCTGCAGGCGAAACTGGGGAACTGAACAACATAATTTCAGTCCTGGAGGAGTTGGTTGGCCGTCGGACATATTTTGTTTGTTGAATATTTTTATGACCAATTTTTGGGAGGATGATCTAACTGAGAAACATATTATTATGTCACCTCGGACCCCATCTTGCTACTGGGGAGACAAGTACGAAACAAAGATGAGAATGGTTTTCCTTCCCAACTGAATCGCTCGTTTGGAATGGATGGCTCTCGCTACTGCTTGACTTGTCGGTCAGTGTCCGAAATAGCAACGGCAACGAGACCGAGTTTCACCGAAAATTGCGAGTACAAGGACATCTCATCATTTATTTTACAACAAGAGATTAGCATACATTATCACATTAATTCTTTCCCCAACAAGATGGAACGTCCTTTCATACTCAAAAAACTCGCTAGATTGCTATAAATCAAATAGAAAAAATATTTAAATAAATATAATAAATAAATATACATATAAATATAATATATATATATATATCCAATCATAAGATATATCATTGCAACAATACATCACCACAACAACAATACATGACAACAACAATACATCACAACATATCACACCAAATATTTATGTATTTATGTATTTATTTATTTATATATTAAATAATTTATTAATTTGTTTATTTATGTATTTATTTATTTATATTTTAATTAATTAATTAATTAATTAATTAATTTATTTATTTATTTATTATTTATTTATCATATATTTATCTATTTATCTATTTATTAATTAATTTATTTATTTATCTATTTATCTATTTATCTATTTATTTATTCTATTTATTTATTTATTTATTTATATATTTATATTATTACATAAAACGGGACGCCTGTCGAAAAAGTGGGCGCCCCTGTCGAAAACCCGACACTTGTAGCCGGAATTGACCCAATACATCATGTAATTATGCCAAAAGTCCCAAATTTTCCAGAAATTTCGGACGAAACCCCGAATTTTCACGGCAATTTGGCGATTTAGGAATTTCCTAAAGTGGCAAATTTTCCGGAAAATTGGTGCTTCGGGATTTTGACTGAACCGCGAAATTTTCCCGAAAATTGGTGCTTCGGGAGGTCGACTCAACCGCGACTTTTGGCAGAACAACTCGCATCGCAATGCCTGATTTGGGGGTACCCGAATTTTAGGACACGAGCAATTTGGCTTTCTGGCTATTTTCGGGTAAACCCAAAGTTCATTGTCGATGATAATCAGTTTGCCGCACTTCATGCACTTGCCGTGTCATCATCTGTGCATTCATGCACGTGTCATCATCTCAGCATGTGCACAGATTGGCGACATGTACACTGCAGCTGTTGAAGACAAGCCTCCGATGGATTGCGATAGACAAAAAATGGGAGTGCAATGGAAATAGTATCAAAGTGGATGATTTGGGGGTACCCGGATTTTAGGACACAAGCAGTTTGGTTTTCTGGGCATTCTCGACTGAACCCAAATTTCATAATCGATGATCATTATTTTGCGGCATTAGATGTACTTGCCGTAGCTCCAGTGTGATCGCGCCTTTGGTCGCTTTGTCATCATCTCAGCGTGCGCAAAGACTTGCGAAGTTTCTTCGAAGCCTCCGATGGATTGCGATAGAGAAAATATCAAATTGTTGGGATCCCAACGCCCAGGCGGAGACAGGTGGTGCTCTTCTCTCAGCAATGGCCTCTCAGCAATGGCCTCAGTCATACGGCGGCATGGATTGCGATAAACAGAAAATGGGAGTGTAATGGAAATAGTATCAAAATGGATGCTTTGGAGGTACCTGGATTTTTGGAAACCAGCAATTTTGCCTTCCTGGCCATTCTCGGGCCAATTTCCCAAAGGAATTTGCTGATACTACTGTTGTGCATCCAGAGAGTTATCCTGCGTACCGGAGACGAGACTTAGGGGCCACTGTACAAAAGGGACAAAATATCTTCGACAATCGCGATGTGGTTCCTTATTCTCCGATTTTGCTTAAGAAGTATGGTGTACATTGCAACGTCGAAGTCGTTTCCAATATCCGCCTAGTGAAATACATCTTTGAGTATGCCTACAAAGGCCATGACCGAGCACACGTGGAGCTTCGGCATGACGATGAAATTCAACAGCATATCGATGCTCGCTATCTTGGAGCTTGCGAAGCAGCTTGGCGGCTATTTGAGTTCCCCATCCATGGCAGCTCTCACACAGTTGAGCGATTGGCTTTGCATTTGCCCGGCCAACACTCAGTTGTTTTTGCCCCAGGCGCGGAAGACGATGCCCTTGACGCCCCTCGTGGGCAAATAACTACCTTGCTTGCTTGGTTCGAGCTCAATAGCCGAATGGCCCGAAATCAAACCGATTCAGCCAAGATTTTGTTGTGTTTGTATCAAGACATACCGACTGTGTGCGTTTGAAATCGGTCACAAAGACAATGGACACCAAGGTGCCGCCGTACCAAAAACACCGGGGTCATTGGCCGCCTTCCGGCCATCAACCCAGCAGCTGGTGAAAAATATTATTTATACCTCCTTCTTCTGACGAAGCCTGGGGCTACATCTTTTGCGGACCTCAAGACAGTTACAGGTATCCTGCACGAAACCTTCCAAGCCGCGGCCATAGCTGCAGGACTATGCGATTCAGACCAACACTATCACGACGCTGTCTCTGATGCTTTGTCCATCGCCACGCCTAAAAGGGCTCGCTCATTGTTGGCACTTATGCTGGCTTGTTGTGATGTGGCTGATCCTTTGAATTTGTGGACTACTTTCCAAGAAGACCTCTCGCAAGATTTTCAGCACGCCGGCATGCACCTTGAGCTTGCCTGTGATGCAGCCTTGGAAGATTTGCAGAAGCATTTGACACGCCACGGGCTGACTTGTCAGCATTTCTCTTTGCCGATGCCTTCAGGTTTCGATTTGCAAGCCTATCGTTTCCGAGAGCTCCGAGCTGAATTGGAGTACGATGCTGCCGCAGAAGCGGCCCAGGCTCAAGAAATGCGCGAATCCATGGACCCCTTTCCTTTGCAAGCCGAGGCATTTGATACAATTGTACATGCCATTGACAACAATGAAGGTGTTATTGTTTTTGTCGATGGGCCTGGGGGTTCTGGCAAATCATTCCTTGTTGAAGCCATTTTGCACTATGTTCGCGGACTGAATGAAATTGCAGTGGCTTGTGCTTGGAATGGCTTAGCGGCAGCCTTGCTGCCCGGCGGAAGAACTTGCCACGCCCGCTTCGGGTTCCCTGTGCCGCTGCCGCGATATAATGTACCTAATGTGACAGCTCGGAGTGGGAAAGGTCAACTGCTGGCGCGATCTTGCGTGTTATTGTGGGATGAGATAGGCACTGCCCCCGCAGCTGCTGTTGACGCTGCGGACGCTTGCTTGCAAGATCTTTGTGAAAATTCTTTACCGTTCGGGGGCAAAGTTGTTGTTTGTGGTGGAGACCTCCGGCAGACACTTCCTGTCGTGGAACTCGGCGACCGCGACGATATCGTTGCAAGTGCCTTCGTGAGCAGCTCTGTTTGGCAACAGGGCCTGATCAAACGGCTCCTTCTTACCTTTAGCATACGTGCTGCGGAGGACGCGCCATTTCGCGATTTCCTGCTCCGAGTTGGCAATGGACAGCAGGAACGGGACCTTGAATTGGGGCCGAATGCCATGGTGTTGCCTCAGCATATGGTGGCGCCAAACTCATGGAGCATAGTGGATTTGCTGACTTTTGTGTATTCAGATTTAGTCGCAAAGTCTTTGCTACTTCTGCATACCAATGATCTTGACAGCATTGGGGATTTGTCCTCCCGAGCTATTCTCACGCCTTGGAACGATGCAGTTTCGGACCTGAATCAGATCGCTTTGGACCTTTTCTCCAGCGCAGAACCCATGCACCAGCTGTGCAGCACCACAACTATTAGCGGTGGCTCTGAGGACGATTACAACAATTTCCCTGTCAGGATTATTTGAATAGCTTGGATTTGCCTGGCTTGCCACCAAGTGTTTTGACTTTGTGCCGTGGGGCTTTGGTGATATTGCTGCGAAACATTGACTATGAGCGGGGCCTGTGTAATGGCACCCGCTGCTTGGTTATCAGTATTTCTGCGTGCGTTCTCGATGTCTTGGTTCTGACCGGTAAGAGCATTGGAAAACGGGCTTTTATCCCACGTATTCCCTTGTCACCAAGCGAAGCTATGCTGCCAGTCAAATTGATCCGTCGACAATTCCCTGTGCGCCTCGCGTGGGCGTTGACGATTAATAAGGCGCAAGGGCAAACACTGCGCCGCGCCTTGCCTTGTCATTCAGCTACCTTTTGTAGTTTAGTTTTTCGATGTATGGCATGATCGTGATTCTGACCATCAATACCTCTCAATAACATCTCGGTGAGCCGAATTGATAAATGCATTATTATTGAATCGATATATGATCTTGGCATTGCATAATTTGCACTGATTGTTGGTTTGCTGCCTGTTGAAAGACTTTGAAAGTGCTTTGGCTGCCCGTTCTCGAATTTAGTACCGTAGTACAGCGACTAGCAGCCCCAAGCTCCAAAATGCAGCCAACACCGTGCAAACATTGATATCATATAAACCGTTTCATTTTCTGCTCCCCGGGAACATGTCCTTTTGATCCCGATATAAGACGCATTTTTTCGCCCCTTTAGCGTTAAATAGCATCGCTTTTGCTTCGTAGTTGTATATCATGGGAATATATTTGTTTTACATATAGAATATAGCAGTATCGATATGTTAGTAGGCAGATGGAGATACTCAGATATATTCATCATAGTCAAATATTTTGTAGCATATGCCATGGACAGGAACAAGGAAAGAAAGGCCGAAGGAAAGAAATTCAATCAGATGGTTGCAAAGTGGCTCAACCGCAGCGCATTCGGTTGGGGCACTTTGTATTTGGCAAGTAGGATGCTAGGAGCGTAATGTTGACACTGGTGTGCTAGGATGTCAGGGGGAGAGCTGCGGAATGATTCTGGTGCATCCGAGCTAGCATCATGCCTGGATTTGCGAACGAGTAGATGAAACAAAGGGGGGTGACGCAGCGGGGGTTTGAAACTCTTGGAAATCGAGGCTGCGGCTTGGTGTTGCCCAATCCTGTTTTTGCACATGGCCAACTCTATGTAGCGTTGTCGCGGGTGTCAAGCGCCACATCGTTGAATGTGCTGATCCAAGACGGGCCTGGACAAGGACGAGATGGCAATGACACATACACCCAGAACATTGTTTACGGAGAAGTGCTTACTGCTTGACGGCAAAAAAAATTGCTGCTACCGCCTGGCTGTAACAGCTTTTGATGGCCAAATTTTGATTCGCGCAACCATTTCAATCTTTGCATTCCGTATTTCTTGCACCGCAGGTCTTCGTGTCATCGTTCGGGCCCCTAGCACCTAGCACAGCTGCGGGTCTGCTTCGTGAACTGCAGCAGAATATCTTCATTTTCACTCTTCATTGTTTTGCTCTCATCTGAGCATGTGCCCCAGCCACTTTTGCTACTATCATTTGAAAGCTCCGAGCCTACACCCTTTCTGGTGTGAACCATTGCATCTTGTAAGTTTGCATGATGGCTCCTAAGAAGACTTTGTTCAGCCCAAAGAAGAAAACCAAGAGCCAAGCCGCTTCTGCATCTATGCCTTGAGTCTCGAGCTTGATGCCGAAAGCAGCTCCAGCGGCTGGAACTTCGTCCAAGCTCCCGGCAAACAACTCCATAGAGTTGAGCATCATGCCTTACACGAGGCGGGCATCCGACATCATGCAGAGTTTGCCCGACGAGCCGCTGTTCCAGGTTCAAATCAAACATGACGCAAAGCCCTCTGTGACCAACAGAATCCTCGCCTCCATGAACAATTTCCTTCAGGAGTTGCACGCAGAAGACTCGAGCATGCCATCAACCTTAGCAGCTTTGAGGACCGAAGCTGGGATCCTGCTCCAGATCACCGGGCACGATGACCCGCATGGAGCGGGCTTTATTCCTTGGAGGATCGCCTTCTACGTTGTTGGGGGGCCAAGCGACCTGCAAAACGCACTCAACTTGCTGGATTCCTTCTTTACTTACCGCAAGACCCATCTGACTGACAATGAGATCGCTTTCCCAAATGCCTTCAAAGTCCATTTGTCTATTGCCGAGCCCCTTGGCAATGCTGTCGACACTACGAATTTTGCCAATGCCACTACAGTGACTTCGCCAGCTACATTGGACCCCTTTGAGGCTGCACCACCGGCTGGGCACAAGATTTTGATCTTCAGTGCAGAGTTCCACCCAGATGGTTGGAATTTGAGTGGAGTCTTTGTCGGTCAGACCTATGCCTTTCGTGACCAGTTTGAGGCTGCCGGCATCTATGGAGCACGTGTCGAAGGATCTGATGAGTACTGCCGCGTTTTGCCACAGACGAATGTTGGAGCTCAAGAAGGAAGGGTCTGGTTTTTGAACCACATTTTGAATGATGTTCTTGCAGGCTTGGTCATGCAAGTTCGTGTGACAACGTCTCCGCCAGACACGTCTCCGGCGGCTGACTTCCTCAGCTTACTTTTGGACCAGCCTCAGATTTCTTTGAAGCAAACGACGACAGTGGGATGAGGCTCTGATTGAGGCTCTGAGCAGTGTTAAAGTGAAATAGCTATTCGAAACGATACATGAATCGTTTTCATGCTTCATGCTTTGAGCCTTGACTACAAGTTGCCAAGATGGCTTTGCGAGGCGCATATTTGAGGCTTTACGATTTTGTAAGAAATCTTTCGTCATGTTGTTCTTGCTTGAAAGCCTCACTTGCTTTTGGATCCGCCTCGGATTTCTTTGAAGCAAACCACAACAGTAGGTTGTGCAATAGCTATCCGAGACAATAATTGTGAACCATTTTCCTGCTTCATGCTCTGAGCCTTGACGACAGGATGCCCCAATCGATATGCGAGGCGCATACTTGAGGCTTTACGATTTTGCACGAAATCTTTTGACAGGAATTGCTCATGGTGTTGTTGATGTTGCTGCTTGAAAGCCTCTACAGAAAATTCGATATGTTGACAGGCTCAGTACGTTGTTAATGCCACAAAATTAAATACGGACAGCTTCCAAGCAAATTTGTTTTCATTCCAATGGTATTGCCATCTGCCTGTCCACTCGCTGTTTCAAGTTTTGTATCCCGAAGAGGTATGCATAGCTTTGGCAAAACGATTCGGTTCCTCTGATTGCAGAGTTTGATATGCACTTACAAGTTGCATTTGATATCTAGGAACGGACTGTGAGGCCACAACCGAAACCCAATCAAATTTGTCAACCACTGACGCACACAGCTGTTGTGCTGCAAGGTCATGCCTCCCAAGAAAAAACTTCGTTACCAAAACGCTTGGGAACGCTGTGTGGAAGCCCAGTCGACGTTGCAGATGCCTTCCATTTTGAAATACGAGGCTATGCAAGAATTACCTTAGACTTTGCTGTCAAGAGTATCCTGCACAGATGCCGGACGATGGTTCTTTTTGTGTTCAGATGCAGCTACTGACGAGGTCTTGGAAGCTATGGCCGTGTATGTTGTGGCGCGAGAAGCCATCAGGAATTACGGGCCTGAGCGTTGTGAGCCAGTCTTTACGAAGCTCAAGGAAACATATGAAGGAACTACGTGGGCACGTGTGCTGACTGCCCCGACCTTGCTGGGCCATGTCCGACAACTTCGGCTTACCAATATCAACAATTTTTGGGACAGGGGCTCCTTTCGTATGAGATTTATCGCTGCAGCTTTGTTGCATGTTGCAGTCCAAGATCCTCAGGCCCCATTGTATGGAGGAGCCCTCACTCTGGCTACGATGTTCTCGGTGATCACCGGGGGCCCTGGCATGTGCACTTGGTTTCAGCAACAATTGCAAGTACCTTGGCCGGATTAAGTCTGCTCGTGCAATATAGAGTTTGCTTTATGACCTCAGCCTCGCGTAACATGTTGATTCGCGTTGCTATTTTTTGCTACTTCTTCGGCTTCATCACATTTTCGCTCAACCTGGCTGCATCTCCCTTCCCTGTAGGCTCTTGGGCCTTCTACCTCTCCAGCTTGGTGCAAACAAATGTTGGAGAAAACTGACGATCCGATGGTTTGGGGAAAGACAGCTGGCCGCCCTCGAAATTTTGGTCAGGCTGCAGAAAATATTCCTGGCCACGACACTGATGATGCTCAAGCAGAACAACTTGATTTGCAAGCTGAAGCTGCAGGCCATTCAGATGATGACGATGCTACTCCTCCGACTTTGGTTTTGACGAAGCATTGTCCGAAAGCAATGTGGGATGAGATTTATGCTTGGTTGCAAAGCTTTGGACTATGCAGAAACTGTTGCTTGGGGGCATTGCACACATGGCGGCTTTCGTCCCTTCAATGCTCTTGGTGTTGCCACAGCTCGCAAAGCTTGGAAGGACGCGCATCAAAATGGCAGGAGAAAGTGGTGCCGCGGAAATTTTCACCACGCGACGCTACTGTTTCCACTTGACGGCTTGGGTACAAAGGTGCTGGGCGACCGCATTGCTGAACTACTCGAACCCGATCAGATGATGACCCCAGAGACGTTTCGGTCCCGCTTTTTCCCAATTCCAATTGTCCCTCGAGTTGGCGGTGCGGCGAAGATGGTGAGCCGCCTCCACCATCGCAGCATGATTCTGGGCAGTGATTTGGCGCCAGTGAAGCATCCAGTGCAATATGTGCACGCAATTGAACGGAAATTGACAAAGCATTCCCGCAAAGTTGCACGAGCCGTTGGAGAGCCCGAGGTTCCTTTGAGTTGGCCGGTGGTAGAGAATGTGTTATGTTGTTTTTCGAAAGTTTGGGAGCGCAATCTCGATGTTGGATCACATGCCACATATTGAATCTATAAAGAAAAGAAATATCAAATAAATAAATATAAATATATATAATTTGGATCAAAATTATTAAAATATTTATAGTAATTAGATTATAATTATAAAAATAAGATTAATTAAAATAGTGGATTAAAAAATCTATTCAGAAATGGAT